TCATGGTCTTGGTGTGCGCTTGCCTTGCTTGGGCTGGTGCGGGTGACTTGGACAAGTTTGTCAGTCTGGTAGGAAGCTTTGCCTGCATTCCGCTGGTCTTCATCTATCCTGTAAGCACACATCTTCCTGTGACTTGCTCATTGCTAACAATACGTAGCCCTTGCTCCATTACCGGGCTGTCGCGCGCACAACCACTGCACGTGTATTGGATGTACTGCTTTGCATCATCGGGGCGGTTGGCATGGTATATACCACAACTCTCACTGTCCAGAGCTGGATCCACGGAGGTGCTCCCAAGGCTCCCGGCTACTGTGACAGCCGGTAGTCGACGGTTCCCAATCGCAAATTACCTTATTTCTCGTTTTGCATTGCATGTAGCATTTCAGCGATGTACATCAGCACTCATCTTTGGTTATCTCTCATCATAGAAGTTACGCTAGGCAGGTTTGGGTTCGGGCGCACTTTTTCGCGGTCTAGTCCACGTACATGTTCGATGAGTAGAAGCGGCTAGGCTCGAGCTCTCACATAGTTGAATCATTGTAGAACTTCACTAGTCTCTCTTTTTGCTTTTCAATGTCAACTGCACTGTGACATAAGTGTGAAAACGTTGCATATGTGCTTGGGCGTGTTCAATGCTGTGATGTGTCCTTAAAACGGCAAGCAGCATCTGAAACGGGGTGAGGCAAATGGTGTGTTTATTTCTCCGAAGATGCAGCGGATACTTAGCTGCTGACCAGGGCCGCGATACGAGACGATACAATACTGGTGCAACCTTTGGCGAGTAGGATACGAAGTACATGCAGGGCGCGGAAAGACCGGAATGAGGAGTCGGCACGAATGCAACGGCAGGACTGTTGTCAAGGCGTGCATGTGCGGCTGATGTTCGTATACGCCACTTACGGTGGGGTTTCAGATGCCGTGTTTGTGGTATGGATGGCAATTTAGAGGCGGTCAAGACAATCGAACTGCTAAGGCATCCAGACGTTCCCAACGGACGCAGGCCAAAGGTTCTTGTCGGCACGCTTTCCTATAGTCGAGCTCACACCTGCAGAAAGGTAGACTAAGCTTTTCGCCAGAGCGGAACAAGCGCGCAGTAGCTACAAGGTGCTCACCGTTGTTCGACTTCAGATGCAGTTGAGCAGACGTACACGCCCCGAAGTCTCAGCTCTATCTTCCACGTTTGTGGTTCCAGTGCGTGATTCGTTGGCAGCGTCGGCCACAACGGGTTGAAGACATTCTCTGGCTCCTGTGAGGTGTGCGTTGTTGGCGCTCATGCGTGAAATGCAGACCTGCAGGGCCAGACGATATTGCTTCTCACCGTCTGATTCAGACAATACTGCACACGGTGGGGAGCACATTGCGGGTAAACCTGCGCCGTTAGTGGGACGGTTGGTGCAGCTAGCGACTGGGTTCCACCCATCTGCCATGATTTGTTTTGGCATATCGGTTTTCTCCAAGCTGTCGACCATATCAGCAGAAGATCACCAAACAGAGTTTACACGAGATGTCAAGTCGTGACGCACGGCGCTGGCTTCCCAATTCGGAGCCGTACCCGCGCTGACGTAGCGGATCCAAGATATTGGACGATGCAGCAGAATTAGAAACCTCTCCATAAGCACAGTCTTTGGGCGAGCTTGAGGCCTCGCATGCGGCGAATGCGGCGCCCGTCAGGACGCGAGTGGCATAGTGGCCGCGGTGTAGCATTGCGAAGAGAAGATTTCTGGCATCTTGACATGAAAATAGTCGAGGAACGGGCCTAGCGTTGCTATTTTGGAGGTGCTGCGCCTCTTGGTCCCTGAGAAACGATGGATAGCGGGCGATCAGGTCAGGAACAGCAGCGGGGGCTATTGGCTGGCAGCATCGCGGAAGCCGATGGACCAGGATGATTCCGCGAGACATGACGAAATAGGGGACAGTGAGGGAGGGCGTGGCAGAGGGTCGCAGGGCTGCGAGGGCGAGATTCATGGGTGGTAGAGCGGCGTCACAGACGGGTGCGATACGCTGCATTGGCGAGGCTAGCTAGGCCGGGTGGAGAAGGGCGTCGCTGGGGCATGCTCAGTGCTTGGCCCTGGAAGATATAAGTCAAACACACCACCGCTCTTTCTCTGCTCACACACCTGTCTGCTTCCCCCCGCACCCTACTTTCTTGCACTCGCCCAATTGACTCCGACTGCCTTACAATCGCTTCCATTCATATTCAGCACCCTACTTTCGTTTCGTCGCCATGTGGTAAGTCCCCGCCGCCCCACTATGTGAAGCTGTGGCAGCTACAGCGAGGCTCTGGACACGGGCTGACGACGGTGTCTGCAGCGGTATCTTCGGCTACATCAACTACCTTGTGGAGAAGGACAGGAAGTACATTCTCGACACACTCATCAATGGTAAGCAATCCCGCAGCCGCTCCCCCAGACGCGCGTTCCACGGAGTCGGAAGTGGTTTGGTGGGGCTCGAGGGCGATCACTAACACGCTGTCCCCTCAGGTCTGCAACGTCTAGAGTACCGTGGTTACGACTCGGCCGGTCTTGCCATTGACGGCGACAAGAAGAATGAGGTCTACGCCGTCAAGGAGGTCGGCAAGGTCGCCTCGCTAAAGAAGCTCGTCGAGGAGCAGAACTTCGACCTCAACAAGGTCTTCGACTCGCACGCCGGTATCGCCCACACCCGATGGGCCACCCACGGTCCCCCATCGCGTGTCAACTGCCATCCCCACAGGTATGTCACGTCCACGTTCTTTGGACCACCCAGAGCACGCACTAACCGCCCACCAGGTCCGACCCCAACTGGGAGTTCTCCGTCGTCCACAATGGTATCATCACAAACTACAAGGAGCTCAAGACGCTGCTCGAGAGCAAGGGCTTCAAGTTCGAGACGGAGACCGACACCGAGGCTATTGCCAAACTCACAAAGTACATCTACACCGAGCACCCCGACCTGAGCTTCCCCTCGCTCGTCAAGGCCGTCATCAAGGAGCTCCAGGGTGCCTTTGGTCTTCTCCTCAAGTCCGTTCACTACCCCCATGAGGTCGTTGCGGCCCGCAAGGGTTCTCCCCTCGTCATCGGTGTACGAACACAGAAGAAGATGAAGGTCGACTTCGTCGATGTCGAGTACAACGACGAGGGTGCTGCTCTCCCCGCTGAGAGCGCCTCGCACAACGTCGCGCTGAAGAAGTCCAACAACTTGCTCGCTCCCCCTGACAAGTCGCTCCTGCACCGATCGCAATCGCGCGCTTTCCTGTCCGACGACGGCGTCCCGATGCCCACCGAGTTCTTCCTCTCGTCCGACCCCTCCTCCATCGTCGAGCACACCAAGAAGGTCCTGTACCTCGAGGACGACGACATTGCACACATCCACGAGGGTTCCCTCAACATCCACCGTCTGCACAAGGATGACGGCTCGTCCAACGTCCGCACCATCCAGACTCTTGAGATCCAGCTTCAGGAGATCATGAAGGGCCGTTTCGACCACTTCATGCAGAAGGAGATTTTCGAGCAGCCCGAGTCCGTCGTCAACGCCATGCGTGGTCGCCTCGATGCTGTCAACAAGACCGTCACTCTTGGTGGTCTCCGTCAATACCTCTCTACCATCAGGCGATGCAGGAGAATCATCTTCGTTGCCTGTGGTACTTCGTACCACTCGTGCATGGCTGTCCGTGGTATCTTTGAGGAGCTCACTGAAATCCCCATTGCCGTTGAGCTGGCCTCCGATTTCCTTGACCGTCAGGCACCCGTCTTCCGTGACGACACGTGCGTCTTTGTCTCCCAGTCTGGTGAGACTGCCGATTCCCTGGGTGCTCTCCGCTACTGCTTGGAGCGCGGTGCCCTGACTGTCGGTATCGTTAACACCGTCGGTTCCTCCATCTCTCTCCTCACCCACTGCGGTGTGCACATCAACGCTGGTCCCGAGATCGGTGTTGCCTCCACCAAGGCCTACACCTCGCAATTCGTCTGCATGGTCATGTTCGCGCTCTCTCTCAGTGAGGACCGTGCATCCAAGCAGAAGAGGCGGGAGGAGATCATCGAGGGTCTCACCAAGATCTCGGACCAGTTCAAGGAGGTGCTCAAGCTCGACCAGCCCATCAAGAAGCTTTGCGAGAGGTTCAAGAACCAGAAGTCCCTGCTGCTTCTCGGCCGTGGCTCTCAGCACGCTACCGCGCTCGAGGGTGCTCTCAAGATCAAGGAGATCTCGTACCTTCACTGCGAGGCTGTCATGTCTGGCGAGCTCAAGCACGGTGTCTTGGCTCTGGTCGATGAGAACCTCCCCATCGTCATGATCCTTACCCGTGACGACATCTTCGCCAAGTCGCTCAACGCATACCAACAGGTCATTGCCCGTAGCGGACGACCAATCATCATCTGCAACGAGAACGACCCCGAGTTCCCTACCGACAAGACAGACAAGATCGAGGTGCCCAAGAACGTCGACGTTCTCCAGGGTCTCATCAACGTCGTCCCCCTGCAACTCATGTCGTACTGGATGGCGGTTGCTGAGGGTGTCAACGTTGACATGCCCCGTAACCTGGCCAAGTCGGTTACCGTCGAGTAGATGTATTATGGATATGGCGTTCTCTAGGATAGAGAAGCTGGTGTGATTTGGATTTGATTTACGATTGAAAGCTCTTGGATGTAGCTTATGTGTATGGCATGGAAACTTTTACGATATCTAGAACACGGAGCGATGCGATGCTCTGATTGAATGAACAAAATTCCAAACACATCTGTCCCATTTCGTGACTGTCTTGACGGGTCAGGTCGAGGATTGATTGCAATTAACGAGAGGCGTTTGAGGGAAGCTTACCCCTGCTCGCGATGACACCATTGCACGATGCGGGATCCCTGCCTTTCGGTTGCGGGGCGGCTCCCAATGTGGTGTGCTCAGCAGCTCGTTCCTGCATTCTTCAGCCCACCCAGTCGCCGTTCCCGCTCGACCTTCACCACAGCGACTCCACTGTTCCATCGCACCTTCCCAATCTACCTACAAACTTGCACACGCGCAACGGCAACATGGCAACCATCAAAGGCCCCGGCGCCCCCAAGACGTACGATGGTAAGTACGCAAGCAAGCTCCGAGCAACCCCGCCCCCACCACCTCAACTGTGCGACTGACTGAAGCTGTGCAGGCTCCGCACTCCGCATTGGCATCATCCACGCACGCTGGAACACCAAGATCATCGATGCGCTGCTCGAGGGAACCAAGAGGAAGCTCAAGGAAGCGGGAGTCAAGGAGGAGAACATAGTCGTGCAGAGCGTGCCTGGGAGCTACGAGCTGCCGTACGCCGTCAAGCAGTATGTCTCCTCATATGACCTTGTAATCCGGGCACAAAGCTAACAGGCACTTCCACAGACTATACTCGGCCTCACAAATCCAATCCTCGTCCACAGGCGTCGTAGGCGCAGCGGCAGACCTCCTCGGCTCCACCTCGGACCTCACAGCCCTCACTGGAGCGTCGCAATCCAAGACGTCCAACTCGCCCTTTGACGCGATAATCGCGATTGGCGTGTTGATCAAGGGAGAGACGATGCACTTCGAGTACATCTCGGAGGCGGTGAGCCATGGACTCATGCGCTTACAGCTCGACAACAACGTGCCCGTCATCTTTGGCCTGTTGACGCTGTTGAGCGATGAACAGGGACTCATGAGGGCGGGGATTGGTGGCGCGGATGGCAAGAGCGGACACAATCATGGCGAGGACTGGGGGAGTGCCGCGGTGGAGTTGGGTGTCAAGAGACGGGGCTGGGTTGAGGGCAAGTTTGTGGACTAGGACGTGGTGTGAGGATACGGGGACACAAAGATCCAAGTGACTGGGCCACTACTAGGCTCTGGTTTGCATATCCATGGATGCTCATAGAAGGCATGCGTGTCCAAAATGGAATCACGCAGCTATGATACACCAGTGCTCGTACAAGCGCGTGGTCCTTCCACCACTCGCGGGATGCCGCATCTGAGAAGCAGCGTGTCGACTTCTGCCGGACGGAGCGTGGAGCGAGTAATGGTGCTTCCATTGTCCCATTCAATTCGCCCACTCGTCATCTGCAGCTTTGGTACTACAATACGTGCTCACGTGCTACATGGTCCTCTATCGTCCCACGTGCTTTCCAAACGCAGTTCCAGTATTCAAGGGTGCTGTGCTGCGCTGGCCATGTCCTCGTGCGACTGCAGTGGGCTAGCGTAAATGCATAGTGTACGCAAGGCGATCGCGATGACGCTTAGGCTGGAGGGATGCGGCTTGACAAGGTGGTGCGCGCGTGCGAGATTCAGTCCTGGGGCGGCAATTCCATGCAGGAGACGATTGCGGAGATTATGCGACCATGTTGGCCAAGGCTGGTCGCTGCAATGCAACAAAATTGTTGAGTGCAAGAGGGATGGTTGGTGGACGAGAGAAGCACTCTCCTTTTCCCGCCAGGGCCTTGGAAGACGCTAGTCCAGGCGCAGTGCCTCGCCTTGGAACCTCAGATTCCCTGGACGACGGCTCTTACTCACCACCAGCCCCATCTGTGCGAGCAGAGCGCTGTCGACCCCATCGCCCGGCTCATCTTTCCTCCCTGTCTTTCTCCCTTGCCCCCGCCGCCTGTCCCCGGGCGCCCCGACACGTCCTCACCGCGTGGTGCGCGTAGTCGATATCCCGTTCCTGGCCTGCAGCTGCATCGAGTACAGCAGCGCGCGGCGCCTCTACCCACGCCTCTTCTATCACACCCGGCTATACAGTGATGGCGGCAGCATACACGTGCTAACACAAGGTCGATCGATAGTGTGGTGCGCTTTTGCAGCGCAGCCATCAGAGACTGGGCTTCGACATCAAGTCCATGTCAGGCACGAGACGCGGCGAACGAGAAGACAGGTCTCTGCGGCGGGAAGCCTCTCGTCGCCCCGGCTCGTCTGCCCCCTCGCACGCAGCTTCGGCGGCCACAGCGACACCGGCAGCGGGTGAAACGCGCAGGAGCACGCGCAGGAACAAGTCGGATTCACCCAACGATGCGCAGCGCCCTAGCGAGCTGCTAGACGACGTTGACTCGGACGCCTCTGCTCCTACGCCCGCCTCGTCCACTTTCTCCGCGCCTTCCACCATGTCGCGTTCTGGTCAAAATATTTCTCTCCACGCCCTCACACCCTTGACCAGCTCAGACTCGTCTCCGCCGGGCAAGCTGCCCAGTCCGCGCTCTTCCAAGCTCTCGCATGAGACGATGCACACAACCTCGTCCTCTACACACGCGGCGCCATCGAGCGCGCCCAACAATGTCGCCGATACCATCACCCCCATAAACACGCCGCCCGAGACGCGCATCTCCGTCTTCCCAGCCGACGGCGTGCTGGGACAACGCTCCACCTACGACGCACAGCTTGACCCCAAACTCGATAAAAAGGCGCGAGGAAGGGGAACGGCGAAATACACCACAATACTGGACAAGGTACGTGAAGGTTACAAATACATACATAGATGTGGTCGCCCTGTGACGCTAAGGCTAACTTAACTTGTGTTACAGGGCGACCCATCTCCTCCTCCCGACCCACGCCTGGCCATTGCCGGCTACACCACTGGCAACTATGTCATCAAGACATCCTTCACGGGCGCTCCCAAATCAAAGCTCCGAGTAGCGCCATACGTCGCTAAGCCCTACTCTTTTGATCAACGCATATCATGCGGACCAGGGCCTGCAACCCAAGTCGTTGTGACGGGCTTCGATCCCTTGACACCAGATGCGCAATTGCGTGGTTTCTTCTCCACTTATGGCCAAGTAGAGACGCTCCGCAACCAAGTACATCCCGATAACGGCAGCCCACTTGGGATATGTCTGGTCAAGTTTCGCGACACCCCACCAACGCGCGGAGTACCTGGCATCAAAGCAACCACCTCAGCAAAGCGAGCTGAGCGCGAAGGCACAAATCAGCGCATTGCGCAGCACACGATCAGGGTGAAATCTGATCGCGAGGGCCGGAGATGCCAGAAACTCATGGATATGGCGGTGCAGCAGACCCGGAAAGAGGAGGAGAAACAGCGTGCCAAGCTCGTAGCGAAGACTACGAGCGTTGCGGCACCAGCTACACCGGGAGCCTTTGATCTGCCGGCAAACGTTCCCAAAGGCCCATCTGGCAAGGGCGCGCGTCCGCCAATCCCGATCCCCCGAGAACCCTTGACAAGGAAAGCCGCACTCTCCTTCCTGATCGAACGCGAACCGGTCAAGCCTACGCTGAAACGGAAGCCTTATATCTTCATCGCACACGCATACGTACCCGTCCTCAGCACAACCGTCGAACATCTCAAGAAGCGGTTAAAGAACTTTCGGTGGGCTTCGGTGCGATGCGACCAGACGGGTTACTATGTGACTTTCGAAGAGTCGAAGCGTGGTGAAGACGAGGCCGTTCGATGTTACAAGGAATGTCATATGCAGGCTCTATTCACCTACGTTATGAACATGGAGTGCAACCAATACGGCGACCCGAACTATGAGCGGAGTCCCAGCCCAGAGCGCGTGGTAGCCGACAAGAAGCGGAAGGCCATCGAAGAGCGGATAGAACATGAAGAGGCGGAAGATCTTGAGTGGGAAAAGAAGCAGCGGGCAGACTCGCTGGATCCTGTACGAGCCGCTTTGGACGTGCTCAAACAGGAGCTCCAAGAGAAGCTTCTTGGTGACATTAAGACGAAATTGGCCGCGCCCACTATACTGGAACTCCTGGAACCGGATCTTCATGTGGAAAAGCGTCGCAAGTTCAATGTTCCGGCTCCGCCTACGAAGGAAGAGGTTGTTCGACCACCCGCACTTCTCGCCCCAGGATTCGACGCCTTTGGAGCTGGTACACCAAAGGGCCGCAATGGTGGTTTTGGTGGCCGCAACGCACGCAGGTCGCTGGGTGTATTTGATCCCAGCACCAGGCGTGGTAAGAAACCTCCGAAGGTTGTCAATGCATTTGCGGACGAACGAAGGAAGGCATCTGCGCCTAAACCCCGTGTTGCCCGTGGGCTGCATCGCCAGATGATTGAGATGTTCGAGCCGGAGGAGTCGGACGATGAGAGTCGCAGCCAGCTCACTCGCGGTACTGAGGAGCAAGAGAGCCGACCCATCAGCCGTGCTCCTTCCACCGACGTTGAAGAGGAGGTGGAAGAGTCATCGAGAGCCCACCGCGCTAAACGGCGCCGTATCGAAACGGGCTGGGGCGAAGACAGTGACGAGGAGATGGACGACTCGCATGCCAGGAGTTTGCTTGCCCATTGCATTCATAAGGATCCAGAGAACATGGCCGAAAAAGAGCTGGAACAAGTACTCGCAATTCTTCCTCGTTCGTCGCCTATTTGGAAGAAGGCAGACAAAGCACTCAAAGGGTTCAGGAGGTTACGGAAAATTGAGCAAGAGGCTGATGCAATCTTTGGGGTGGAAGCAAGCCCGATTGACAAACTTGAACCTGAAGTCGTCATCACCCATGACGACGAAGCACTCAAGCCCATCGAGACTACTGAACTGCCAGAGACGCTCACGACACTCAAGAAGAAAGCTGCCACCAAGCCCAAGAAGAAGACCAAGAAGCAGCTCGAAGAGGAGGCCAAGGCTGCTAAGGTCGAGGTCACGGAGATCGAGACGCCTGCGGAAGAGGAGATTGCTGAAGCGAAAGAAGTCAAGGAGGTCATCGAAGAGGTCGTGGTTGAGGAGTCGACGCCGGAAGACGACGAGCGGGCCTCTTCTGTGTTCTGGGGCGTGTCCTCTGTCGAGCCTCGTAAGACTGTTGAGGATGACCTCAGTGTTGTAATGGACATTGACGGTTGGCAACACATGCTCAAAGACGACGAAGATCTCCGTCACCTCAAGGCTGCCATGGAGTCCATCAGTGCAGCCAAGATTGGCGATGCACAATCCTGGGCATGGAAACAAAAGTCTATCAAGCATCTCAACCGCAACGGCGAGGAGGGTGTCTCGCGTACGGAAACCAAGATCGAAGGGTACTACGTTCCCAACGCGACTGGCTCGGCTCGTACGGAGGGTGTCAAGAAGATTCGCGAGTCTGAAAAGTCAAAATACCTCCCTCATCGTATCCGCGTCCAGAAAGAGCGCGAAGAGCGCCAGCGGCGCGCCAAGCAAGAAGAGCGAAGCGTCGTCTCTGTCGAAGGCTTCAAGTTCCAGACCAGCTCCAATAAGACATCCACCGCCAACTCGCGTGCCAACCGCGCCAACAACCGTCGCATGGTCAACGATATCAACATATCCAAGAACATGTCCGGGGCAGAAGGCGATGCCCTCCGTTTCAACCAGCTGAAAAAGCGCAAGAAGCTAGTCAAGTTCGACCGTTCCGCCATCCATAACTGGGGTCTTTACGCCCAAGAGCCCATCGCCGTCAACGACATGATTATCGAGTACGTGGGTGAAAAGGTTCGACAACGCGTTGCCGATCTCAGGGAAGCCAAGTACGACATGCAAGGTGTCGGATCGAGTTACCTATTCCGCATTGACGAAGACACGGTCATCGACGCAACCAAGATGGGAGGTATTGCAAGATTCATCAATCATTCTTGCACGCCAAACTGCACGGCCAAGATTATTCGCGTCGACAACACGAAGCGTATCGTCATCTACGCGCTGCGGGATATCAACTCTGGTAAGCACAGTTCCTTTTTCCGGACAATTCATGCCATGGAACATCTACTAACAATGTTTCCAGATGAGGAACTCACGTACGACTACAAATTCGAGCGTGAAATGGACGCTACGGACCGTATTCCCTGTCTCTGTGGTTCTATCGGCTGCAAGGGCTTCCTCAACTAGTCAGCTTCGCATGGCTTCAGCTCTGCTTCGGCTCCCTTGGTACATTATCTTTGCGCCGGCTTTCCTTCAACATCACACTTTTGCAGCGCTACATCGCTGCTTCTTTTGTTTCAACACCTACACTTGGCAGGGAGCGAAAAAAAGGCGGCTCATCCCCATATGCACATGAAGCTAGGCTTCATCTTGGATTCGGGACTGGAAGAAGAGGGAAATCTTGCATTGCATGGCGTTTTTCAGTGGCTACATATTATCACCATCTTCCTGGCACCCCTTTCTGCCTTTGAGAGAAAGGGCGCGAATGTATCATTTTTCTTATCCGACTAAAAGAATGGGCGAAGGGTGGGTGGGCGGCACTTGCCCTTGACTTTATCGATGGGTTTGAGTCAGTCGGGTCACATCTTTGGCATTGTATCTGGTGTTTTTGTCGCTTTATCTTTTTTCACTACGCTCAAAATCACCATTTGTACTATTTCAACATCTCTACGAAGAAGAGGCGTCGACGGAAGAGTGGTAGAAAACTCATGGTATGTGTGTGTTTGTGTGTCGGCTTTTGTGCCGTATTATCGACACCGGTAGCTATAATCAGTTCGCAAGGGAACAGAATGAGAAGATTGATCATATATCCACTGCCCATTTTAGATCTTGAGTGAGGTTATACATGGTCTTTTCTCTTGGTACCCCATTCGAACAGTCATCCCAGCTAGCTGCCCAACGAAATGACGTGCGCAACGCAGCATCTCAAGGTTCCTCCAGGAGACTGCTCCACGGCCCTGTTGCGAAACCGGCGGCTTGGTAGCATAGGCGCGGGTCCCGGGGTCCGAAGGTATGATGGGGGCTATGAGGTGGCAGGTCAGAGATTTGTATCGCGCTGGTAGTGGGTATGCTCGCTATGATCATGGGAGTGGCAGGCAGACTTACAAGAAAGGCCTCTTTGGAGCATTGTCTGGGTGCCCATACGCTTCATGTCTAAGCAGTGCATGTATATTAGTCTTCATTGTGTTACGATCCGACATGAAACCCGGGAGGTAAACCAGCGACCAAAGGAGATGGCCTGGCAGCGCCTAGGGGTGATTGAGACATGACGTGACGGCTATTGCACGTATCAGACCCTTGAGATGGGGGCAAAGAGACCGGGAAAGCTTACTCGGAAGATGCGGTGTCCATATCGTGACCCTGACTGTATGCGGACTGCATCCATATATCTTTGGGTGCGTTGGATAACTGACCGAAGACTCTATCCCTGAGGAAAGAATTAGTACATGTGTATGAGAAGTTCTTTAACTCAGGGGTTTCCGTGTACGTTTGTAATTTAGTTAGGAGAAACACATGTGTGAAGAGTATCTTTGTGGGCACTACAAGGAAGTTGGAACGAGCCTTGGATGTGTTTGATGGATCAGGTCCTTACTTTCGCCCATGTCGGCAAATCTAAAGGCTCCGATATCACAGGCGTTCTTTTCAGTAAAAAAGTCGTCTCGTGGATCTGAAAGACGCTCCTTCAGGGTGTTTAGCACGGCCTTCCATCGTCGTGAACCCCGACTAATATCTCTTGGGTATGCAGACCAGACCTTTTTGTGCAAACGCAGATGTTTGCTCTCGCCGTGTTGGGAACGAATGAATGAAATGCATACATACCATGGATCAATACGATCCTCCCTCTTTTGCTTTCTCAAGATATTCAGAATGACGGCAGCCTCTTTTATAGCAAAGTGATCGGCAATGTGCTGCAGGTGCTTCAGACTCCAATCGACTGCAGATTGTGGACAGCTTCTTGACCAAGCAACAACGTAGAGGCTGAAAATCAGTATGTATACATCGAGGATGTGTGGTATGCTGTGTGCATGTTGTTTACCCGTGCTTCCAATAGGCAGCTTATCCTTTGCGACTAGGTCGCAGTCCGTCATCTGAGGAACCGATGCGACGATCTCCTGGACGAGGGTCAAGATGGCAGTATTTGCTCGATCACACTGAGCGGCAACTTCAGGATCACAGCTCTCGGAACAGGACTGGATGATCTCCTCGCAGAGAAGTATTCGGGCTATGCGAAGCACGTTCCACATCTGGGTGATCATGCGATCGGGGTAGACGTCATACACCCTTGGGAATCCTGCGGGTACCAGTCTTGCTCCATCGGGATCAGATAAGCTTTTGCGTTCATACGTCCAAGCCGGGCTCGCTTCAAATGCAACAATCTCGAGCTTTCGATCAAAGTACTCGCTCTTCGTTATCCTTTCTTCCGCCGTCATAAAGCCCTTGCGCATCTCTGCGGCTAGATCGGTTATGTCAAGCATCAGTCCGCTGAGCTTCCACTTCGGATAGTCAGTGTTGACGAATTGTGCTGCGTGTACTCGTATTTTTCGTATGGAAGGATCCACCACTCGCCCGGTACTCAATGAGCATATCGTCGCGTTCAGGGAAAGTCCCATCAATGCCCGTAGCTCAGTGCCTTCCTTGAAAGAATCTACACCTCGCAGTTTAACCAATGTGAGAGCGCCCTCGATATGGGCGTGTCCTGATGTGTTGATCTCCAAGGCTGACTTCATGATCTTCTCAAAGAGATCCAGCAGCAACGCGCCTTCGAAAGTCGATGTCGCTTTTGCTGTCGTGGGATCTTGCAGGGCAATGTTGATCTCCCGTAGTGCTTGACAGTACTTTCTGCGTCCTAGATCTTTTGCAGTCTCAGAGGAAACCTGATGGGACAAGAAGGCGAGACTGACCGCTTCGATGCTCAAAGTAAGATATTTGGGTGTGGATCTTGGGTCTAGATAGTTGTATAGGAAGTCCCATGTCCGACTGAAATCGGAGACGTAGTACGTGAAGAACATGTCCTGACCTAGGGTCAAAAGGTCTTGGGGTAGATGTCGGACTTTAAGCTTGACTTTGAAGTCGCCAACACATCGTTGCTTCAGTGGTGACCTTGTCTTTGCCATAGCCTTAGTTCGTACAAAGTCGGTCTCGTCGCTAATCCGAATGTTGATCGTGTCGCGATAGCCGGTGCATGCTGCTCCCACTCGAATGCAAGAGTTGCAACTTGGCCGTTGCAGATCACACTGGATGTGTCAGTAAGGAATCCCAACTTTGGATTCGAGGCATACTCGTAGTCTTCTCTCTCTACATCTTTCGCAAAACTTGGATGGTTTGCCGCGGAACACCATCAGATTCTCTGCAGCGTGAACGGTTTGCCAACCTGTAGGCCTGTTGAGCCTCAATTGATACTAAAAGAAAGAAAGTCTAGCTTCAATCTAATTGACAAGTCTCGCTTTACCAAGTAGATGAAAGTGGTTGAGTGGTGTATAGGGCTGCCGGCAACATATAGATGACTGGAAGCTGACTGCCGTACTAGTCCCAAGAAGGAATGCATTTCGTGCTGCGTCCACTAGCGCGATGTAAGCATGAAGGACGACTGCCAGCCAGTCGCGTAGGGGGTAGATGCTGCATTCCGAAGTCTGGCCTATCATCTAATAGTCTGAACTTGATAATGAAAAGCCTCAAAAGGTCATCAATGTTCCACAGCCGCGTAACTCGCAAATCGCTTTGGCTGCTGCCTACATCATCGTGCATTGGATTCCCAAAGAAGTGAGGTGGGTGGGAAGAAATCATGGTACCCGATAAGACTTATGTCCCGCCTACCACCTCCAAGCCAGGTCCTTCCTTACCTACAGCTCGAGGGCGAGCTATGTATGCATCACAACACAGCGGGTATGTTGAGCGCATCACGGGAATCCATGAAATCTTGAAGGGAAGATAGAGGTGCATTCCATGCTTGCAGACGATCTAGATATTTGATGAACAACGAAGCCTAATCGCTATCGTCGTACTTATTTCCAACCCCAACATCGCCTAGTAATATGTCATCAGGCGCCGGGCCCCTGTGATTCCTCACCCACTCTGTCTCTACACGGAAGAAGATCCATATCCATCTTCGCAACACCTCGAGAACTTCCATTGTAAAGATGCCTCCTTCCAAATCGTTGAAATGATCCAGATGCACACTGAGTTTCAGACTCCATGTACACCTCAGCATTGCGTCCACTGCAATGGCTGCATAGTAGAATTCTTTGGCATGGAACCAGCGATGCCGTCTTAGACCCCGTGGGTATTCTGAGCTATCCCGAGTACGGGCATTAGAGAAGAGGGTAAGATCCCAATCCTTGGCTACGTCCCAGTAGAAAGAGTAGCCAGAGTTTACCACCACTGCGACGAGCCACATACGGAACAACGTCGCTTCCGAAACACCAAAGCGGGATGGATCAGGCGAGCGTTGCAGAGCACTCAGTATGATGACAGGAAATGCGGTCGAGTATTTCAGTGCGTTAGCCAAATGCTGGCCACCCCATCCTGTCGCTGGACTAATCTGCCCGGTTTGCTTGTTCGCCTTCTGAACACGATAGTATTCTGTGATACACTGCCGTAGACGTATCATCGAGGGTATAGCGATGATGAAGGGAACCCAGAACACGCCGCCGCAACTCCTGTTTGGAGGCCCTGTTGAGCTGTGCGACGACGAGAAGAACATGCACAGTGAGACGAATAGATCGCCGAGCACCTTCGCATAACTCGTCAACGCATCGGCTAGCAGAATGTCTCCAAACTTTCCGTCTTGTGCTTCTGCGATGCCGCCGATCGATATGCGTTTCAGCGTCGCCAATGTACGAGTCCGTCCATTGCGACTAACAAATGGCAGCGGTATGACAAAGCCAATGACCAGTACCAAGAGGTAGAGGTTTGGCAGAATTTCCCAAGCGGCAATATCTGTAGGGCTGCCGTGCGTAAGGGTCCAGAACAGGAGCAGCGAGAGGGCAAGCGGGATGGAGAGGAAGGTTGCGATGCGGTAGCAGGAGAGGTGGTGCGGGATATGGCGGGGTGAGGTACGGCCCGGGTAGCGGATCAGACTCGGGACGTCTATCTTTATGAGGGTGAGGTAGTGGAGGTTTAGACCCCAGGCCCAGATGCCTGTGCGGCAGTTAGTAAGGTGGTTGAGAGCAGACGGCCTGAGCATTCGCATACCCAGAACTATTATAAGAGCGACGCGATACGGCAGGGGCAGCACGCGACTGAAGCCATCGATTTCTGGCTCGACGGCGGGATCACCGTCCATTTCTCGAATGCGCGCTCGGTTCCGTGGCGGTTGCTGTGTCCCAGCCTGTTCTCTGCCGTATGATCATGAAGCTCCTCGATGCAAAAGACACCCCCAATTGGTCCCTCTCTTCACAGCTATCTCCGGTCGTGTGGGCGCAAGGGGTTGCAGATGTCGCGATAGCGTGTCCACTTCCCCAAGGCGATGGCACCAAACACGCTAGCTAATTTACAAGCCACTCTTCAGCCGCCGTTGCGTTACGTCAGCATGGGCTCCAGCCTCACGCGCGCTAGCTGCATCGTGCCTGGCGGAGTGGATCTTTGGTCTGTGCGACGACCGCGGGAGCTTTGCCTAAAGCACAAGGCCATGACGCGATCATCGCGACGACAAAGTGACGCTTCTCCGCCGTATGCTATTGGGTACCTGGCTTTGGAGGGAAAACAACGCCTAGATCTCTAGACTCGCTGCACTACTTGCTTCTTCTCCACATACCAAGGTTTCCATTGACTGTCCCTACTTCGTGCGTCACACCACCCAGCACGACACACAGCACCTTCCACTTCATCTCTGTCGCTCTAAACCTCCACCCTCACCTTCTCCCACTCCCACCTCGTCAATTGAAGGGAGACAGCAGGACCAACAGCAATCATGTCGCCTCTCTCTGTTCCTAAAATTTTCATGGCTGGCGGCGCCGTCGGCTTCGGCTACTACCTCTTCATGCGCCAATACTGGTTCCCCAACCCGTACAAGACACAGGGCGTCCAGAACATCGAGGATCGCTTCTCAGCTGGCGGAGGCCACCCCACGCACACACCTGCTGGAGGAACCCAGCGCGGTACGGGTATAATGAGCTCCCCAGACTTAAAACCCTGGAAGTATATAGAACGGAGTTTGCTGACATCAAGCTTGTAGGCTCTGCGTCCGCAAACGAAGGAAGGCACGACGGCCCGAGCAAGGGCCCAGACTCCGAGCACTTCAAGAAGAACATCAGCGACCAGCAGAGTGAGGTATGTGGCACACTGATTTCGATGCCCAAGGACTGTGCTAACATGCGATAGCCTGTTTGGCCGAGCAAATTCAACGAGATACAATACAACAACCCCAAGGGCAAATAAGCGACTCCGGACCGATCGAGCAGACACAAAAAAGCATGGCAATATACAGCCAGGGGGCATTGGGCATCTGATGAATGGCATCATTGGCGTTTGGCAGATAGCGATGCACGATAGCATCCTGTAGATTTTTGAAACCCTCACTGTTGCGGCCAGTTGAGCGCAATGAGGCCCCCAGATAATCGAGAAATAACAAAACCAATTTTCCAAGGAGCGCCCAATGCCGTATAGCTGTCAGCAACTCTCGGTACCTGATGAAGTCCATGCTGTTCCGCGTAGCTATGGAAGTGGAACTACACATGCCGGGATCATATTGACGAATAAGCAACGTCACACCACAACAAAATGAACCGAGGTAATGCAGCGGAGGAATTCAGCAAGACAATGTTCACACGCGCTGGCTGTTTGAAAAGTGCGACGTATACAGATGCTGGTGATTATGTATGAAAGAGTCCAAGGCCTAGATCTTCGCATTGCCTGTTTTCCTTGCGGCTGTGTTCCTAGCAGCATCCAACACAAATGCTACATGATGGCTCAAAGCCACCAGATCGCCGTCAGCATCGTGCACCCACACTTCCAAGTCCATCCTACCGTTCGCCACCTTTTTCATACCCGCCCTAACCTGCAGCCACTTGACTCCCTGCGGCGGCAGCGCTTTCTTGATGTCCAGATTCAGTAGGAGGGTTGGATACCAAAAAGGTCCCTCTCCTTCGCCCTTGATTGACTCAACCATCAACGGGAACATGTCTGCGACAAAGCCGACCGATGAATCCGTGAAGTTTGTCCCATCAGAGAAGCAGATCCACTCATCAGCGAGATGCTTTAGGCTTCGTCCTTCCCGAGGGAAATAAAACTTCACCCTCTTCGTCGCTTTTCTGAAGTTGGCGTGCGGCAATTCTGGTTGTAGCCTCCAGTTTGTATCTTCATCATTTTCCAGCTTTGTCAGGTCGACTGACGGGACGGGTGGTGAAAGCTTATATCCGACATCTTGGGTGAAGCCCTTTTCCGTATCCATATTGGAATTTGTGACATACGCGACGACTTCCTGTCGGCCGTCTTGCTCCATGGTCACATGTACGATAGACGTTTGGCGACCAAGTTTAACATCGTCGACTTTGTATGTTGCGGGCCCGGCTTGGGTCCGTCTCAGGAACTCAATGTGGAGAGCTATGGTGTGTGGCTGGTTCTGCTTCGCCAAAGTTGTGCTGAAATGTGTTTTGACTACCTCCAGTATGCTAACAAGTCGAGATGTGGTTAGTCAAGAGTGTGAGGCAAAACGCGATGGGTCTTACCATCCTGTAACGTAGCCACCATTAGGAACTGTTGCCGTTAGTAAAAGCGGATGATGTTATCTCTGCTGGGGTCTAAAATACCGCTTCCGATGCTCCAATCATCGTGTAGTGTACATGAGTACGTGTTGGAGGACAGTTTCTGTACTGCAGTAGCTTCTTCCCAACTCGGCATCTTGATAACCTAATAGTGCGGAACTTTCGTGTGTTTGGAGAACTAATAAGTCTATATGGTCAGGCTATCGATGTTCGAGGTTGTCGCAATGCCGTTGACCTCGGGAGGCCATGTGCAGCTATCGCGCCGCTAACGCCAAAAGCAGAAAGAACCTCGGTCATGGTTGCACGGAGTTGTGGGGTTTACCCCGGTCGACTAATCATGGCCAGCCGTCTCAATGCGCTGCGTCTGCCCTCGGTATTCCCAGGTCCGTTAGAACGCGACGGGCCATGTCCGTCTTCTCATTCTGGCATCCTTCTACTTTCACTCTACTCCCTCCATAAGATTCCTTGGCTCGGTACTGATCATCAACACGACACCGATCTTCAACCACTAAGATGCCGTCCGAAAGCCAGTATCCTAGCTTGCCGATCCCAGACGTTGATCTGGTAAGTTTGACATACGGAGATAAGCCCTTTTGTGGAACTAATGCTGACGTTTGGCTTTAATCGTAGTGGGCGTTTCTCTTCGAAAGGAATGACAGGCCGTACGCAGATGACAAAGGTATGTTCTCATGTTCTGTCAACATAAGTAATCACTAAAACGGGAAATAGTAATCTACTTTGATCCGTACACCAAGCGGTCCTACACATACGCCCAGGTCAAAGATGCCGCTATCAACTTTGGCAAGGGGCTAAAGGCACTCTGGGACTGGCAAAAAGGCGATGTCCTCGCTTTGTACACACCTAACTGCATCGACACACCAGCGATAACATGGGGTTGCCACTGGGCAGGCGGTATCCTGTCTCCAGCCAACCCAAACTACACGGTCGATGAACTTGCATTCCAACTTAAAGACTCCGGTGCAAAGGGCCTGGTGACACAGTTACCTTTCATCAAGAATGCGCAAGAAGCGGCAAAGAAGGTTGGCATTCCTCTTGACCGGGTGATCGTGATGGGCGACCCGAAGGATCCTTCGTACCAAGTCAAGCACTTCACCAGTATCATCAATACAGCCGGATCTTCCAAGTGGCGGAGAACAAAGGCTAGCAATCCATCGGAGGACCTTGCATTCTTGGTCTACTCCAGTGGAACCACAGGTCATCCCAAGGGTGTCATGTTGACCCACCGCAACATTGTCGCCAACACGATGATGATCAAAGCCGCGGAGGCTGGTAAACTGCAGCCCACAGGAGGACCAACTGGCGAAGGCGACAAACTGCTGGCTTTCCTGCCCTTCTTCCACATTTACGGTAAGTTCCTGCATGCGCTCATCTAGGTGGTTCTCAACTGACTTCGACTAGGTCTCACGTGTCTGATCCATCAAAGCTTGTACTCTGGTCTCCAACTTGTTGTGATGCCGAAGTTCGACCTGGAGGACTTCTGCAAGTTCATCCAAGAGCTCAAGATCACATTCGCGTATGTGGTCCCACCAATCGTTCTGCTCTTAAGCAAACACCCTCTTGTATCGAACTACGACTTGAGCTCGATCCGGATGATGAATTCTGGCGCGGCTCCCCTGACAAGAGAGCTTGTAGAGGCAGTTCACAGCAGACTGCAAATCCCTGTCAAACAAGGATACGGTCTTTCGGAAACCAGCCCAACAACGCACACCCAACCCTGGGAGGACTGGGACAAGACCATTGGATCTGTGGGCAAGCTTCTTCCCTACCAAACAGCAAAGTACATGTCTCCAGAGGAAAAGGAGATGGCAGTCGGTGAGGTTGGCGAACTATGGATCAAGGGCCCGAACGTCTTCAAGGGCTACCTTAACAACCCTGAGGGAACCGCGCATGCAAAGACAGCAGACGGGTACTTTAAGACAGGCGATGTTGGATACCAAGACAAGGACGGAAACTTCTTCATTACCGACCGCGTGAAGGAGCTCATCAAGTACAAGGGATTCCAGGTGCCACCTGCTGAACTAGAGGGTATCCTGGTCTCCCACCCGAAGATCAACGATGTAGCGGTGATTGGCGTCTACTCGAAAGACGATGCCTCGGAACTACCGCGCGCCTACGTCGTACCCAAAGATGGACTGGGCAAGACGGACGAAGATGCGAAGGAGATCATAGACTGGTTGAGCGCCAAGGTCGCGCACCACAAGAGACTCCGCGGCGGAGTGAGATGGGTGGATGAAATTCCGAAGTCTGTAAGCGGAAAGATCCTTAGACGGATGCTCAAAGTGAAGGCGCAGGAGGAGGAGGATAGCAAGGCGAAAGCGAAGTTGTAGACTACCTTTACCTTGTATCAATAGGCGCGAAACATTTCAGATCCACCACCTGTCTCTTACCAGCTGAGCCATTGCAACCTCGTTTGACTATCAGTTCCTTTCAGTTCTTCTGAACCATCTTCTTCCTTGTCTCCTCTACTCACTCAGCCGGGAGGTATCGCTCTCTATCCATTTAACCTGTGACAAGCTTCCAGAACAACCTGCTACTCGTGTAATCGGCGTACGAGATCAAACAGCAACATGCAGAGTAGGCCATAGTTTGACAAGAGGCCGAATTGCACTTCGAGCTAACTCTGCTGCAGGTCCAAAGTCTAAAACGGCCACGCCTACCCTCGATGCTACGCCTGCCCCCGCCCCCAATAATACGACCAAACGCAAAGCAGAGGTCATCGATCTCGAAAACCTTCCAGATAAGAAGGAAGTCAAGCCGTTCAGACCGATCAGCAAAACTCCTGGAGAGAAGGAAGAAGAAGCCTTCTTCCAGGTGTCTGTCACAGCAAACGCCAAGTTCGACAAAATCCCAATTGCGTTGCGCAACAAACTGGAGGCAGCCTGTCAAACAGCCTTCTACAACCACATGTTCTCGCTTAAAGCCGGCACGATGCCGGAGTATCGCCAGCAATACGAGGTTTGCCTGGGGTTACGCACACGCACGTTGTCTATGAAGTTCGAAACCACAGTTGTCGTCCCGAACGTCTTGGATCTCAGCATAGCTAACGCTGCACTGTTGGACTACTTCACCAAGAACTTCAAGGGTACGCATCGTCTGCTGAAGAAGGAGGCGTGTGTAGAGCTCAAGAGTCAGGGAGGTTTACTTAATCCGGAATTCATTGAGTTGTATGCTGTTAGGCATGGTGAACTGGGCTGGGGCTTCGATGCTGGTGGCTGCTTGTCGTTGTATATTACTGGCGTGATTGACCACAAACTGAAGGAAAAGGTTTTGTATGTCAAAGCTGGTGGGGTAAAACTCAAGGAAGAGGATTGAGGCATTGAGAGGAGCTTACAGAGCATCGAGCGCAAATTGAAAAGGTCGGATGTGGTTTGGAATGCGGTAGTGGTGACCTCTGATTTATGGTTTTTGAGTTAGTGGGAGCCTCCTCAGGCGTCAATCGGATGGTCGACGAGGGAATCTTGAGGGGCCATTTTTGCTGCATCCTTTGCTTGGACAATTAGAACTGCGAATGTCAACACTTGACACCAATGACGTTCGTTCGCATCCGGGGTGGAAATGTGGCGTGGTTCTTCTTCTGTGCCTGTGAAGCTGTTCAAGACTGGACGATGGTGATGGCTCCACAACAGATCATCACCGAAGATAGTCTGCGCATACAAGCCTTTCAATAGGGAATGCAATGCAAGCCTTTGGTTGGTGTTCGTGACTGCCGTCCAAAAGAACATTGGGGAGAGCACGTGCCTGCTTACAGCTAGCGCCATCTTGGCACCACCGCACAGCCGAGCCAAAATTACCCTCTCAGATTTGCGACTCTGAACCCATCTATCGACAACATCACGACCGTCACGATGCCGAAAGAAGTCAAGCAGAAGTCTGGCCTCATCGTTGGCCTTAACGCCGGCCACAGTACGTCTCCCCGCTCGCCGCTCTCGATACGCACCGATCGCTACAGATGAGAAAATTCGTGGATGGAGGCTAACACGGTCTACAGAGGTCACCCCCAGGACCCCCGCTCCCAGGATCTCGAGGAGGAAGGGTTTCCTGTCGAAGCGCACTGCCTTCGTCCGTGAGATCACCAAGGAGGTTGCCGGGTACGTTCTAATCCGAACTTTTCTGCAGAAGGACTGCGCAATTGTTCGTCGAACAGCCCGCTAACTTGACGTGTCTACAGTCTTGCCCCATACGAGAAGCGCATCATCGAATTGCTCCGAAACTCCAAGGACAAGCGTGCCCGCCGTCTAGCGAAGAAGAGGGTACGTCTCCCGCCCTAGCACACCACGACCGACCTCCTACCCGCTCAGGCACATCCAAGTACGAACATCAACTAACACATCACAGCTCGGTACCTTCGGTCGCTCAAAGAGAAAGGTCGACGAGATGACCCGCGTCATCGCTGAGTCCAAGCGCGCTGGTCACTAAACGGTTCACGAAACGCGGTGGATGAAGCAACACGGCGGACGAACGACCGACTTACTTTCCGATTTCTTCCTGGGTGTTCGGTCTCTTTTCACAACGGGCGGCTCGATACGATCTTGGAACGTCACAACATACCACAAAAAGTATGACACGATTCATCGGAGTATGGCAAATGGACAATGATGGTTCCTGAACGTACCTAGCATGTGTCACTCAAAATCATGAAATGTGACGATTGGTTCACGCCAAACCAACCTGTCCCAGTGCACCCATGCGCGTGAGGTGCTGATGCGTTGATGCCTACCTAGCATGGATGTCAAATTCCTACTCTATTGCCCTTATCAATGGCAGAGTAAGGGCCGAGAAATGCTTATATTGAAACGCGCCTTGCTCGGAGACGAGACTGCTCAGGCTTCACACTTCCTTGTGTGGGTGAGGCCTCGAGCAGAGGCGTGGACATTCCAACAACTTGTATGATGTCTTTTGTCACACTTTCAGACGACTTGCGATGCGATACAGCACATGCAACTCACTCTAATGTCTCGATCAGACAGTAGCAATGATTAAGTATTTCAGATCGTTTGCGGGAATTGAACATCATGCATTAATCGTAATTCTGTCAAAACCAGTAAATGCTCCAAGATGACTCCATGTAACCCTGCTAGCCACAACTATGAAAGCATTGTCGTTTAGTCGTCGTGACCAATCTTCTCCAGTTTGCCAATCTCGCGCTTCTCGCCAGTCTCGCCCACGAATTTGATACGGTCGATACGCGTCTTCTCGCTATCGCCATCGGCGTCCGCGACAAACAGTACTAACGAGTAGACGTTCTGGAACTTGACGAAGCGCAGTTCAAGCTTGGCCGTTTGTGTCTGCTCATCCCAATCTGACGGCTTCAGCTCGATCGTCTGAGTTGCTGGGATGTCTTCGGCCTCTTCGAATCCCAGGTTATTTGCCCTGTTGGTCCAGACGTGAATGGTCTTTGGCCGCACTGGCGCTTCGTCGTCGTCTTCGTCGCCGGATACGCAAGACGTGATGTGGATAGTGTGAACCTTCAGGTTGGCCATGAAGGGTACGTACAGCATGAGCTGGTTGTCGACATCGCTTTCTACCCAGTCCTTCTTGCCTTCTGAGCCGGTTGCCGCACCCTTGCCCTTGTTGAGCGAGCTCGGTTGTGATGTCTCGAAAAGCGTCTTGACGGTGCCGAAATCGCTGTCCGCGTTGAGGAGATCGAGACCCCGTGGGTCCACGGAATCGGTCACATCGGTGTATCCGCGTGGTAGACTGGCGCCTATCCACGGGCCGCTTCCACTGCTGCTGCCTCCTGCACCAGAAGCGCCACTGTTTCCCTTTCCATCGTTCTCTGCCTCCGTGGCGAGGGTCTTGATCGCCTCGGAAAGCTGCTGTGGATTCGAGCCGGCGTACTTCTTTATCTGCTGGTTGTTCTTGTAGATGATGAACGTCGGGGTACTAACAAGCGTTAGAAAGCGCTCAAATATGTGGCCGTGCTTGGGGAATGTGCATACTTGGTGACGTTGTAGCTCTGTGCAATCTGCGCCTGCTGTACTGTGCTGACTTTGGCGAAGGCGATCTGTCCGGGCCGAGTGAGTTGACCGGCTAGTTGGTCGTATACGGGCGCAATCGCTTTGCTCGACGTGTTTTCTTCATTGTAGACTGCAAGTACCACACATTAGCATCCGGAGTTTGCCTCGTAGATGCCGGGTCGCTGCTTACAATTGATGACTACAATGCGCGAAGAGGAGAGCAGCTCGCTCAGCACTGCAGGCCTCGTGATTTCGATGACCCTGGACATGGCTGTGGGTGTATTGGGGAGCTGGTGATGTTGGCTGTAGAAGAGGCGCGACTTGCACAGAAGGAAGCGCCCGACAATTAGTGGGGCGCCATCAGCGCGGGGTGGTGGCATTCCGTCACCGACGTGTGTACCTAGGCCGGGTCCCATCTGCAGGCACCGACACCTGCACACGCGGCAAGGCCACCCCGAAGCTTCCAGAAAGATAAAGCTGCAATCGCGAACAGCCGCCCAAACACTTCCTCCCTCAACATCACTGGAGCCCAGGAAGACGACCACCCGCCGAGTCTATATCTATTCTATCGCCGTCGGAGCATCGTCCTCGCCATCGCCCGCCAACCACGTCCATCACCACCGACCGCGGTGACTACGCTGTGAAGCCATACAGGCCTACGAAGGATTGGTAAGCGCCCCTACCGGCGTTGACCGTCCGCGACACTGTGAACATCCACCTAATCGCCTCTATGGCAGGCCCAAACAATCTCCTACTTAGCTTCGCCGAAGCAAAGCTTCTACACATCGCTAGCATTATCCTCCTGGTCGAACGGAGCGACGCCACCCGAAGAGCCCATAGCTGGAACTGCTGGTACTCCCGCGCCATTCTGATAGCCAACGCGCCCGCTGCTTTCCTTCTCGCCCACGGCCTCTACCGACTCCTACGCGCATGATGTCGCACGTCGTAGTGTTCAACTCGTACGCGAGGACTTTCAAGATCCCGACCACACCCACCAAGTACTTGACAGAGGTGCGCGATGAGGCGTGCCAGAAGTTTGGTGTCAACAAGGACCAGTTCACGCTCAAGTACGCCCCAACATGACAATACGTTAATTCACTACTGACCAGTGTACAGATACAACAACAAACCCATATCCCTATCGCAACAAATACGGCTCGCAAACCTCCCCCAGGGCGCCCGACTGGAACTCGTCCAGGCCTCGCGATCACCCACCGTCATATCCGTAGCGCTCCAGCTCCCCGCGACCGAGAAGAACGTACGCCTCACAAGCAAGTTCGCGAGCAACACTTCGTTATGGGAGATCTTGCGACACTTTGAGAGCGGGCAGGGGGCCAATTACAACTTCACACAGCGCGGCATCCCCGAGATGAGCGGCGCATCCGGTGCTGGCAGGCTGCACTACGAGCAACCTGTCATCACTGTCATGCCAGGTCACAAGGAGCAGGCCAACTTTGTTGAGCTACAACAGACTCTCAGTCAGCTGGGATTTGATAGCGGCTCAGCATTATTAAAGCTGTCCTACAGGAATAGCGGAACGCCGCTGGAAGAGGCCATGGCACAGATAACGCAATACTTCAAGTCCAGCGAGCCTGCGTCTGTCGGTGCCGAAGGCGCACACGCTTCGACAACTGATCAATTAGCCTCAATACCAGACCCTGCCCAGGCAGCTCCGGAGGCGACAGAAGTCGTGGCAGGCGAAACTGTTCGTAACGAAGAGCCCGATCCAGAGCCGATGGAGGTCGACTCCAAACCGGCCGCTAAACCTACACAAGAGCCCGAGGTGTCTACCGAGAACAACGCGGCTGAGAGCATAGAGAATACTTCTCCAGCAGCAGCATTGGCTGCGGCAACGTCAACAGCGTCGTCCGCACCCGTAGAACCCGTCCAATCACCAGCACCGACCTCCCGACCATCATCACAGCCATCTGAACAATCTCGCAACGTCCAGATCTTCTCTGCGCCAACATCGTCCACTCCGCAAGCAGCGCGAAATGCCTTCAACGAGAACGACTACCTCCCTACCATTGAACACGCAAAAGCACATCAAAACGCGTTGTTGACCAAGACACGCAATACGCGTCTGTTGTCTGACAAAGAATTGGAGGAGCAAGAAAAGGAGCGGCAGGCCAAGATTGACGCTGCAGCCGAGAAGGGCGGCGCACTCCGCATTCGGATGCCGGATAATGCGCTCATTCAGATGAACTTCACAAAGACCGATACCGCCGTCGGCCTATACGACTTCGTACGCGGCTTCCTGGAGAAGAAGAACGAGCCCTTCCAGCTCAAGAACACGGGTCCAACAGGTCGACTCGTCCTCATTCCCCAGGACAATAAGCGCTTAGTGCACGATCTACGTTTCTTCAACAACGAGCTCGTCACGTTCCTATGGGCAGACAACGCTAGCGCGGAAGCAAGGGCTAGCCGACATGTGCTCTCGCAGGAATCGCAAGCGAAGGCGCAGGCGCTCAAGGTCGAGGAACCGGTACGGGAAGAGAGGGCTCAGCCGGAGGCTTCTCAGGGCCAGACGGTTGCCGACGGCAAGCGCAAGGCTAACATGAGCAATGAAGAGAAGGAGAGCAAGCTAAAGAATCTGCTCGGGAAGGGCTTGTTCAAGAAGAAGTAGAGGTATTGCAGATGGGGATGGGATATTAGACATTCGCGTGTTTCCAGACGAGCATTTTCAGGGAGTTTGGCATCGGCGACGGAGCGCTTTCTTCTGCAGTGCAGTGTATCCTGCCACTTGGAAACTAGTTACTAGTAGCAATCCAGTATCATGATCAAGAAGATCACAAAACTTCGTTTCCACGATTTCACTCAGCATGAAGAGCTGCCAATTGGTATCGAGGAGTCTAACGTCGCGTGTCGGGGTGGGTCAATGATGCACTTTTCCAGGTTGCTAATTAGCGGAAGACGCCTACCCAAGCTAAACCTTGAGTGAACATATCTCCTTCCTTTCGACACCATCACAATATCATCATCATCTGCACAATTTGCTCTGGCAAGAAGTACATTATGAAACGCACTCGTTGATTCGATAGATTCGTCATTGACAGTGATTATGGCTGGCAGCCTGTGTTCTCGTTCACCGCGCGTCGCAATCGGCACCAAGCGGGCTAGATCGCCTTTGCTTCCAGTAAACACATATGAATCGGGCGACGCATAAGAGCATGGCAGCTGTGGCAGATATGATATGATGACCTCGATATGTCCCTGAAAGGCCTTCATTGTCAACTGAACTCGCAAGGGCACCAGGCCGTAGCATCCGCTAAAGTTTCGTCTTCACCTTCGATCATGTTTACATAACTGGATACAGCGTGCATGCTTGACGTTACAAGGCAACAACTCTCTCCTTCACCGTGCACCACAATAGCCAGATTCGGTCGTCCTGCCGCCCGAGCTAGCAGCAAGTCACCCTCACCTTCACCGCGTGTGCGGCAGTCTCGACAGATAGTCACTGTTTCCAGCTCAAAGCTCCGTTGCCTAAACACGACAACCCAACAGGTCCGCAGACACGGTAAGTACTCGGCGCCGAACCTGCCCAGCAGATACTGGCACTAAAACAAGCAGATGCAACCAGAAATCACCATCCTAAGCTCTGATTCGAGCAGCTCGGGCGACGACGACGATATCATCTTCGTCCGATCGGTCGAGAAGCCACGCGCCCCGAAAGGCAACGGTCATCCAACCAAAAAGCGCGCAAACCCCAACAACGTCTCAGCTCAGACGGTTTCCCCAAGCCCGGCGGTCAAGAAGCGGAACGGCGGACCCCAGGATGCAAAGCGCACGAGAATCAATAACGTATCGGCTCAGGCTGTCACTCCTACCTCTGCGACCAGAAAGCGAAGCGAGGGTGATCAAGCTACACCACGCGTCAACTCCAACAACATCTTCGCTCAAGCTCTCTCCCCAAGCCCTGCGGCCAGAAAACCAGTCAGTATTGGTCAAGGTCCAACGCATACAGAACTCGACGACTTCTCGACCTGGGCAGTCTCCTCCAGCTCGGCAGCTAGAGCGCAGATCGGCGATAGAAATGCCTTGGCGATTGCTGCTAAGATCAACACCACGGCGCGTGGTCCAGGACAGAACACTACATTCATGCTCGCGACCCGCGACGTTCTGGAAGCAGCACTGGGCAAGGAGGCCTTGGAAAGCCAAGAGAAATCCCTCCTCGAGGAGCAAAAGCGTACTGATCAGTACATCGCGCAGCTGGAAGAAGCAGTCAAGCAGAAGGGAGGAGTAAATGTTTCGCACAATCTCATTGCCCAGAATCATATAGCCATGTTGAAGGCGAGGTATGAGGCAAAGGAGAAGACCGCCTCGACAGAGATCAAGATACTTCGCGAGAGTAACAAGAAGCTCACAGAGGACAAGACAAAGCTCACGCGCAGGGTCAAGCTAGATCGAGACGGACGTGGCGCAGTGGAGGGCATGGCTCAAGACGACGCTAGCGCGGAGATTCAGATACTTCGTGAGACCAACGAGAAGCTCTCTGATGAGAAGAGTCAACTGTTGCGCACCATCAGTCTCCTCCAAGATGAGACTCGTATGTGGAAGACCAAGGCAAAAAAGAAAGAAGCTGCCGGAGAAGATCTGGAGACACTGCGCGAACGCAACGCAAAGCTCACAGGAGAGAATGCTGAACTTGTACGCAATGTCAAGCAACTCAAAGACGAGCACGAAGAAGATCTGAAGACGCTACGTGAACGCAACGAGAAACTCACAGGAGAGAACACCGACCTCACAAACAATGTCGAGCAACTCAAAGACGAGCACAGTACTCTGCGGGCCAATGTCTCCGCCTTGACACAAGACATCTGCGAGCAGAAGAAGCTCTTCGCGTCCAAGAAGATGCGACGATCCAATGGAGACGTCAAGGTCGCCGCCGCTGAGACTAAGAAACTCAAGAATGAGATCAAACGCTTCAAGGCAAGGAACAAAGGGTTGACTGAGCAAAACAACGACTTGTCCGGCAAACTCGCGGAGCTGGGTACTGAGCGCCGCACCGCCATCGACTGCCAGAAAGCCGCAAAGCAGTCAGCAGAAGAAGCTTCGGTCGCACGTGAGCGCATCGAGAAACTGCAACAACAACTTGCCAAGTTGGGTAGAGACTTCCGCGAGCGAGGTGAACAGCTTGCCGAGCTCAGCCGAGACTCCAAGTCGAAGCACGAGATGAAGCTGCAGAAGAAGGCAGCCATCAAAGACAAGGGCCTGCTACAGACGCGAATGGTCGGTATGTTCACGCACTATCGGAACCTCTTCAAGAAGAATAAGGTTCTGCTGGAGAAGCTGAAGTCGACGGCTGAGGCTGGGGCAGATGGACAGGGAGGAAAGGCTTACCGTAAGGAGCTGAAGCTGTTGAAGGGTCAGCCGCTTGAGAAGCTGAGCGAGTTCAAGAATCAGGACTAATCAACTTTGTTGGTGGCCATGCACGGCGAGGAGGGTGTTGGAATCTTACGAGAGACTTTCGTCGCGGTGCTACAAGCGGGCGTCTACTTGGTGGATCGGTATTATGAAGGGATACTTGATGTACATCGTCGATCATGTTGGTGTACGAGGAGAGGAGCTTGTCGGCTGTATCATCACCGCAGCCTTTCATGTCTTTCGGACTGGAACATCGGCTGTCAAGAGTGTGAGCATGGCGATCTCGTCGAGTTACTAGTCAAGCTCTAATTTCTCCTAAATCTCCTACATTTCTCTAACACGTAATCGCTATGACGTAGAAATAACAAGTAGACGCTGAAAGGCGTCGTGATAGGGAACAAATGTGAGATGAGGAGTGCCAGAATGAATGCTTGCAACTCGCAGGTAGGGTGAGTAGGTGACTGCGATACGTGACATGCATACTGCGTCCGAGATCACAAGATAGCATGTGTATTTGCTATCTAGCCCACGCGCAGCACTCATTGAGCGCAACTCATTGAATTTCCAAATTTGTATAAGACAACCTATCTTTCGCCATCCGGTACCGTCCTCTCATCACACCATCACGTTATGTCCACTTCCCAACAAACCAAACAGGAAGCCATGGAAACTACTCTCCAGCGCCTCCAAAACGAGTTGAACACCATGAAGAACGACACAAAAGATCTCCCCAGCGAGATCAACGACCTGCGAAACAAAAACGCAGATCTCGAGAGCAAAATGGCTCTCGTCACCGCAACTGTCGCCTTCACCAACACTGTCAATGCTCTCACCGCCGAAAGCACTGCCAAAATCCGCAACGACGCAGAAGAAGGCAAGAAGACCATCACGGATAAGATCAACGAATTCCAATCCCTGTTGGAAACCTGCGTGGAGGAAACTGTGAGGGGGGAAATGGTTTCAAACATGATTTCATGTCTGGTTATGAACGAGATGAAGACTGAGGAGGTGCAGGAGATGCAGAAAGAATACGCGAGGAAGGCTGTGACTGTTGCGGGGCCGGAATGGATTTATGAGAAGTTGGAGTGGATGGTGAAGAATGCGGTTGAGAAGGTTACGAAGAGGGTTGACGAGCTTGAGAAGTAGCTGATAGCCACGAGGGAAGGGCCGAGAAGGGAGGTGCTTAGCTGAGACGTGGGGCAGATGGTTGTTGCTTTTAGATCGGTGAATGCATCGCCTCCACGTGTCTACCCCAATTTTGTAGTATTTGTTATCATACGCGTGACACAACGCCTTCATTGCATTATCGCTAATGAAAAGAAGGCCAAGTCCTCGTTAAGATATGCAATCGCCTCGTCACTAGGAGACCCTTAACGATCGAGGACGGCTATCGAGCTCATAGCATGCGTACCACGAATTAGAAAACCGCTGATATGCCATGTAATCATGCGATCCAGTCATTCGGTTTGTGACAAACCCACAAGGGATGTAGTGTAGTGGCACTATAAGACATCCGCTTTCTCACTTCTTCCTATCCTGTTCATCTTCAATCTCATCACCACAACGCCAGGAGACACAAGCTCAATGGACCCCCCATTCCTCCAGAAGAAAGACATCAAACCGGCCACCCAACCCGCCAAAGACGCTCGTCAAATTCTCTTGGAGGACATCAGTGCAATCAGAACTGACATACAAAGTCTTGCCCAACGACTCGATCGCATGGAACGGAATATCAAGACCGCCAACAAATCAGGACTAAATGAAAGACTCACTTCATTCACCAAGGCGGTCGCCGTCAGGAACCGTGATGGAAAACGGGTTAGAGCTGGGGCTGCGGAGAAATTGACTGAAGAGTTGAGGGAGGAGGAGGAGAAGATGGAAGAATCGGCATACTACTGGTTCAGAGACTTGAGAGAATGGCTGAAAAAGGGCTTAGCAAATGTGGAGGAGACTGAGAAGAGATCCCGTGAGCACCTAGAGGGGGTGTCGAAGAGGATAAATGCGTTGATGGATGAGCAAGAGTAATAGGGGACCAAATTTGCCTAGCATAATCGTAAAGAGCATTCAGTGGTGTGAAGACATGGGACATGGGCATGGACAGGCCTAGAGCTCAGTGGATTTCTCCGTGGTGAAGACGTGAAGTCATGGGTTGAGCAACTAAAAGTCATGGTGCTCTTTCCGAGAACATGCCGTAGCATCAATCTCACTCCTTGCACACAAGGCAGTGTGTCATGTCGCCCATACCGAAGCACAAGAACACTTCAACTTCATTCTCCGACCAACTTGCACGTTCTCCAAACTTCCGTCCATGCAAACAGACAAACCAGGCCTTGCCATATAAGTAGACCACGGGATGGGTAAATGGAAAACAGCGAAATTACGAAATGTCACTTCCCATCCAACCAATTCCTTTCCGTGAGGAGATCAAAACTCTGATTGAGCGCATCGCAGCTCTACAGAAGGAACTCAAAGGGAAGACAGATAGACTCCACTTCCTATATGGCTTCGAACTGAGGTCTTCTGCTGCGCCGGTAGGCAATGGCAACGGCGATGAAGGAGCCAAGGGGGCCGAGAACGACATAGACAGTGAAGAGCGCGAGGATGAGCAAGAAGACGAAGCAAAGAAGACACACGTCAAGAAAACAGTCGCCAAGGCAAAGGTCAACAGAACAGCCATCAAGAAGACAAGCGTTAATAAGGGCGGAAGCAAGAAGAAGGAGCCGAGATTATGCAAAAAGTGCGAGGAGAACTACCTGGAAGACAATGCCCGTTCCAACTGGGTAAACTGTAAGGAGTGTAGAGATAAGAACACAGATGTGTGGAATGAGGGACGGGCAAACAGGGAGCGAAAGCAGAAGGAGCAGAATGCAAAGCGGAAAAAGCGACAGGGAGATGAAGTGGAAGCAGATGAAGTAGGCGACGAAGTAGGAGAGGCCGAGGAAGGAGATGAAGAGGATCTAGAAGAGGACTCAGAAGACGAGGTACAGGAAGCAAGGGAGGACGAGCGTAAGCAACCCAAGAACAAGTCTGGAAAAGCTGCTTCAGAACAGACTTAGCTTATCACCCTCGTGTAGTTCCAAGTATAGCACCATCAAAAATCTCATATTCATCACCCCAAATGCGAATAACCTAAGATAATATCCCCTTTCTTCCCTTCCCCATCGTTCATGTTTATGCCTGCCCAGGACCCAATCGCTCATGCCATGGTATAGTACCCGAATGAATGACGCCAGTAAATGCTTCGACAAAGCTCGCTGAACCCATTTTGATGCCGCTAAAAACAGACGTAAAAACAAACAGACGCTCGCCATGCTCTTAGCCCCAAAAGATAAGAATAGTCCAAGACCAAAGGAGTGTGATGCCCAAAACACCAAAGCAACAAAGCGATAATATAAAGGAAATACATGGCATGATACGATGTCGTGTTAGATAAGAGGGCCCGCCATCATAGGACTTCCCCGCGTGTTGTTCGTCAAAGTGGGTTCATATGCTCCGGGTGAGCCTGAAGAACCTGGTCGTGGTCGGTAGTAGCTGTTTGCATACTGTGCGGGAGGAGCAGCATAAGCACCTTGTTGCGGCGGGAGAACACCGGGTGGCGTAGAGTTTAGCATGTTGCGGTTGCTACGGCGTCGACCAAGCACTGGCGATGCAGGAGCACCTTGAACCGTCCCAGTGGAGTTGCTGGACTCGTTTGAGTTGCTCCTCACGTGTTGTGCTGTAGCTGGCTGCTGCATCTGAGGAGAGCCAGTTGGATTCGCCGGACGCTGGAAGCCTTGTGTGAAGGGATTGGTACGAGCGGGCACACTCGTGTCTCGCTGACCAAGTGCTTGTCTTCTGGTCTCGATAAGTTCCCGAGCCCGAAGATTGCGTTCGTCCGGAGTCAGCCCGACGGAACGAGCAGCAGGTTGCGCAGGGGCTTGTACGTTCTGTGTAGGTGATGGGGGAGGTCTCCCATTATCAGCCGTGCGCAAGGCTCTTGTAGATGGCTGAGGAGCGAGTTGGCGCCGCGATGGCTGAGGTCGTAAATTGAGACGTGATGGCTGAGGCCTCACGCCTTGCGGAGGGTTGCCAGCCTCTCTAATATTGACGCGAGAGCTCGCTGGGCGCAAGGTAGCTACCGAAGACTGATCACGGAGAACTTGACGTGAGTTACGATTGCGCACACCGCGTGCCTGCACAAATGCAGCCCAAGGGTTACCGCGCGCAGCAAAAGGAGGAAGAGCCGCACCCTGGACATGCAAGCCCATGGCAGCATGAGGAAACGCGTTCGCTGCAGCAAAGTTGCCAGAGTTCCTCCTGCTATTTGCCGAAGATGGGCGAGCACCGACTCGACTTATAGGACGATCTATCATGTCCATGGCTGCAGCTGCCTGTGTCTGTGCTATCGTATCGATGGAGTGTTGCGAAGAGGCTGAGGAACTTCCAGGGGTCAAGACGGCAGAACTATTGCTGTTGGAACCAACAGAAGGCGCACGATCAAAGCGGCTCATGTTGCCGGCATTGCCCATCGCTGGTAAGCCGGGTGACATGGCGCTTCGTCGAGGTGGCGATATTGGGAGTCGCGGATCCATGATATAGTTCGTGCCGTTGTCCATAAGCGGCGTTCGAATGCGCGCAGGAGGTAGAAAGGGGGAATAAGCTTGCGCGGGACTAGGCCGATTTCTGTTCCTTGTTCGAGGACGAGACAGCGGCGTCATGGTGCGCGGTTCGACGTCTATCAAGGCGCCTGCCATCTGGTGTTGTTGGAGAGCTTGTTGATGGGCAGCGAACATCCAGCTGATACGCGGATCGTATTCCCGGCGTTGCACGCGAGGAGCCCCTCGCCTGTGCCCTTGGGAATTATCCGAGTTATCATCAGTGTCCGCCTCGTTGGTTCCATCCGCAGCAGCAGGCCCCTGGTTGTAAGCGCGAGCTGCAGGGTTTCGCAGATGGGCTTGTGAGCGGCGCGTCCGCAAGGTGTTCAGGGCTAGATCGACGTCGCCATCTTGGTCAGAGTCGTCGTCGTCCGCTTCCCCATCTTCGTAGTGGGCTGTCGCGCTCGACAGGACAGAGGATCTTCGGCGGAGACCACGCGAGGTATTCAAGACGCGGACATTGGCGGTTCTGGAAGGCGGGCGTATCGGGGCACTAGGCCGAGGACGATCTGCAGTAGGTGTTAGAGAACCGCCCATTCGGCTTCTGTCATTTGAGTTCGCAAGCGGTTCCCACCCAACGGTCGTCCTTCCTCCATCGCTGTCATCTTCATCCTCTTCTGCCATCTCGTCGTCGTAGTCGCGTTGTAGCTCCCATCCCTCCTCTCGCAACAGTGCTTGTGTATCTTCGTCGAGCTCCTCAGTGGAGACGTCGGTGGATGTTGTTGACGCTGTCTCACGTGAGGATCTCGACCCGTTTGCCCTATGTAAGACACGGGTTTGAGCAGGATTCCTCATCCCCCTACGAACGGGCCCCTCGTCTTCCTCGTCTTCGTCTTCCTCCTCGACAGTGCTTGAGCGGTTTGATGATGACTCAGATTCGACGATGCGACGTGCTCGGGCACGCGCTCTGTTACCCGAAGGCTGGGCAGCAGGACCAGGAGTGGACGATGCGGCGCTGGGTGAACTCGGTGCGGGTACGGCCTCGTCATCGATAAAGTCATTCATCGAAGAGTCCTCGTCCAGACCATCTTCGTCTTCCTCCTCGACCGTATCCATTTCGTCGCCGTACATGTCTGAGACTATGCTCTGTGAGTAGGAGCGTCGGCTGCCGGCTTCGCTGTGCGTGATCGGTCGTCGTCTTGCGAATGCCGCTGCATTGGGTGCCATGCCAGCGTCCAAGAAGCGTCGCATCATGAACGAGCCTTGATCTGGGGGGTATGCGCCCCAGTCTTCCATGCCGTCTCCGTAGCCGTCGTATTCGGGGTCCTCCATGTCCATTTCGGCGTCGAGGTCGTCTTGGTCGTGCTCTGACATCTCGTCCATGTCACTGAAGCCGGTGAAGCTGTTGCCCCATGAGACTTCGCCTGTCTCGTCGAATATCAGTCCGCAATGGGTGCATCCGCCGTCTTCCAGCTCCCAGGTACACAGCGGACATCGGTCAACTCCATCTTCTTGATCGCGCACGATTTGCAGTGACAGGCGGTTTTGGTGAGGCGGAAGCCTGAAGCAGCCTTTGAAGAGACCGCCAGCGCGGGGGTCCGCGTTATCCTTGTCCAGCTGCACAGCATCTGCCTCGTCTTTCTGCCACTTCTTGTGGTCTTCTATGCTCTCGCCCGTAGGTAGTAGTTCGGCTCGCGCGATGAAGACGCTTGTCATGTCTCGTATCTGCCCAACTATGTTAGACGTCGTCGCTGAACGGCGTGCAGGCTGACTTACCACATAGGCGGGGGCGGGCAGGTCCTTTACGACGATGCGGCAGTCGGGGCATGTTTTGCGGGCCTTGTTGGCGACGAACCACGTGCAGAGACACTAGGCATGTTAGAGGGTGGCATATGCGGAGGGAGGGTGCGCATCTTACTGTATAGCAGTAGGTGTGCCCGCAGGATATGGTGTACGGTTGGTAGAGTAAGCGGTCACAGATCTTGCATGTGAGATGCGTGCGAAGGCTGTCAAACTCCGACTTGAGCGCCTTGAGCTGCTGCGGACGGTTAGTCGATGCATGTGTCATGCAGTAAAGAGTCTCATACTTCATCTGCGCGGCCCAGCTGTGGCGGCTCGTCCTTCTTGGTCAGCATCTTCTGTTTGAGGCTGTCTTTGCTTGCTGCCCGCGTCGGCTTGTCCTGGTCGATGAGCTTGGAGGCAGACCGGCTGGCCGTCGGTGTGCTCCCGCGCCCAGTCCGTGAATTTGAAGGCATGCCGGCAGACTGTTGCGAGGCAGGCGCGGCATGTGACGTCGTGTTGGAGGAGGATGCGACGGACGAGGCGGAATTCCTGGGGCGAGCGGTGGGCGGGGTTGGCGACGCTCGATTGTCCATGGCGGGCGGTGACTCTCTTTTCTCACGGCGAGGTGCAGCTGGGGGTTGAGAGACGGAGCATCTGCTCACATGGGACTTGCCCTTGTAGAGAAGAAAGACTATCGTTGGCAGTGGTTATGCATGCAGCAGCGGGTCTACTAGCCTAGGCATGTTGGCGCTCGGTCGCTGTTGCCCTTGCCCTCCGGCCATTTGCCGCAGCAGCCGTTCACTATCGACCTTCACTCCATCCTTAGCGCCTGCCGTGGAAAATCACCACCCTCCAGCGCCTACCATCGCCAACCATCTCCATGGCTATCTCTGCTCTCATACCTGGTCATTTCTCATTGGGTCCAGTGCTTCTATTGCAAGCTTGACACGCCAATGACGTGGGCCACGCGACTCGTCACGTTCCTGTCACAATCCATTTTCGCCCATGCCATCATTCAACGTTTTTGCTTCACGTTTCTTTTGATCCTTTTTCCATTGAGCCGCGGTCCCAAACAACCACAGTTCAAAGACGCCATTACCTGGTATTCCCGGCGCACGAAAGAGGGCCTCTTTCCCCACAAGCTTCCTAGCTTTCGGCGCGGCACCACCACATGCAGACGCGGTCGAATTGACCTTTATTGTTGCGCTCACAGCTCATACCCGTCTCCGCTCCGCTTCACTCGGAGTGCTGATCATCACTGCGGTTGGAGTATTCGTGGTCGACACTTATCAGGTCCATGCATAGCGTCCCCAGAAGGAGTGCCTGTGATTGTGGGCGGGACCTTGTCGGCTCCTCTAATGCGAAGCATGACAAGCATCCTGGCCGCACTGTTCAAGTGCGTAAGACGTGGTATCTCTTCAATATCGTCCTCAAGCTGCGCACCACCCCGATCAAGTCATATAACCTGTACTGTGCACAAGATCGCCTAGCCTGACGAAGAGTGGTGGTTTTCTGCAATTGTAGTCCTGGCCAAATACGTTACCAAGGTACATGATCGCTTGTCAATCACATGCATGAAGCATACAACTCATGACTAGGGTGTTAGCACTATCTCGTAAGTAGGATCGTAAGTTGTGGATGGCACGACAGCCGTCTTGATACACGCGACATGCTGTTTATGTGGGCTGGTCGTCCTAGCGCCCGCAGTCCTCCCGCCCCCACACTGGATGAAGCGTTGATGGAACTAGACGGGTCGTCACGTACCTAAACATGTATACGTTGGCTAGCCTCTGTGGTTCTACGCGTGGGTATCAATAGTAGGTAGTGAGGAAGCAAGCAGCCAAGTTAGGTCTTCTTGAGTGCAAGGCAAGTAGCTCAAATCATTGAAGAATTGGCAACTGTTATGGAGCCTAGCAGTCGCAATATCTGTAATTGAAGGGCTGTCATTATCAGATACTAAGATCTAGTGCCTGTATCGCGGACCTTGGGATACGCAGGGCAATTAGTGATATCGGGAAAGTGCGTGAGTGCCTCTCGACCTCATGTATGTTCTTATCGATAACGCACCTCCGCGGCGCATCATCCACTCTCGTCGCAACTGCTCCCGGCCATCTTCAGGCTGCCTGACAATTACACGCCAGTACGTGCCCTGTACACACTCTTTAGACGTCCCTTTCCTCGCTCTTCATTATGTCCGACAAACCGACTCCCTCGAAAGCCGACGAATGGAAGGGTTCCAAAGCCAGCAAATTCGACAAGTACGCCACCGCAACGATCGCGTCGCAAATGTATGCTGCACACAACAGGCGCTGATAAATTGGTATAGCAAAGCGTACAGCGAATACTTTGATCCATGTCAAGAGGCGGCGGACAAGAGTATAAAATGTTTGAAGAGGAATGGTGGTGAGAGAGCTATGTGCTCGGATTTCTTCCAGTAAGTGCAGCACATCGGAGTTCCAAGAGTCAGCATTGCATGAGGAGGTCTTCCGCTAATACGCGTTCAATCAGGGCATACCGAGAGTGCAAAGAGCAATGGGTACGTGTTGTCCACCCTCGATCCAATACGACCGCAACTGTCCCTCCATGCCGTACAACGCGTCGCGAAACCGCCACGGAAGAGATGCTAACACCTATACAGCAAGAAGCAAGGAGAGAAGCGAGAAGGAACAAGTCATGGTTTGGTTGAGCAATGCGGGCAAGATTTGGGACGCGCGAATATACAACATCTCCTCTCTTCATAGGCACGGCGTTTGACAATGGTTCACGTTTACTGTAACATACCTGGACCCACTGGAGGTATTGATCTATTGGACAAGAAGATCAATTGATTATTAGATAGTCTGTGGAAGTATGCAAGCAGCCTCACTGCGCTTGCTACTAGATGCGACACGCAGAACTTTAACACCATCGCCGAAGCATCTTCGTCCCAGCCACACACACTCATCTAAAGCTATAGCTTGTACTCTCCTACCGCGGCAAGCGCGAACTCCAGTTCCAATGCCCTGACGTAGATGCGATCACGCAATTTCCCCAGACAAGCCGTCAACCCACCCTCAAGTACTGACGTGCTCGATTCATTGGTCATGCTCGTCGTACTTGCCCTGATTACCTTGCCCTTGCAGCGTGCATGAGGCTGTGTGCTGACGATCTGCACCCCACCACCCCACTAGAGCTACCCCTCCAAGGCATTCCAGGTTCCTTCTTTCCGCCCACAGCCACCTTCCATCCTCCACTCATCTCCCCTCTCACCCTCCAACTTCATGAGAAGCCTGCTTAACCCTTCCTCTTTCCAACGCGTAACAACTCGAGCTTTCACTACGACCGCACGCATCATGGGTGTCCAGAAGACCATCATCCAAGAGGGCAACGGCCCATCCCCACAGAAGGGTGACAAGGTCACCATGGAGTACACTGGCTGGCTCAAGACCCAGTCCGGCGACAAGGGCAAGCAGTTCGACAGCACCACTGGCCGTGGTCCCTTCCAGACCCCCATCGGTGTTGGTCGTGTCATCAAGGGCTGGGATGAGGGTGTTGTTCAGATGAAGCTCGGCGAGAAGGCGAAGCTGGACATCAGCAGCGACTTCGCTTACGGCGACCAGTAAGCCTCCATGATGTTATCTGATTAATAACTGTTACTGACTTGATGATAGGGAGTTCCCTGGCTTGATCCCCCCTCACTCTGACCTCATCTTGTAAGTTCGCGTCGCGTATGGACTCCACGAAAGTGCTAACTCCGCGATAGCGAGGTCGAGCTCAAGAAGATCAACTAGGTCTACGAAGCATCCAACGACGGGAATACACGATGATCGCTATCAGTGAATGGGAACAGTCAGAGGACAAACATAACATTCAATATACTCGGTCATGAAACTCATTCACCAGTCCACGTTGTCTAATGTGCAGTTACAGACTTTCTCATATTTTTAGATCATCATCGTCAAGCATTCCATTTACGTGCCATACTAAGTCGTATGTCACAGCATCGGCCGCGAACTACTGAATCTAGCCATAGGAGCATGCTAGATGTGTCCAAAAACACCTAAGCCTACGCAAATTACAAGACCCACCATGCTGATGGAGAAACGACTGGCCGAACTCTCGGTATGAGTAGCCACCGAGGCGTCTGTGAGCCCATTTATCCACAGGCACATGAGCTGTGTGTCGGGAACACTCAGCGCATTGTTGACGCCTTTGTCTGGCGACCAGAATGTGGTGATGATGATATCAGTAAAGGACCCCACGCCGGTCTCATTGTGACTAAAGGCCAAACTGAGATCGTTGGACTTGGGGAGGGTCGGATGACAGTTAGAGCTCGCATTGGCAGAAGAGTTTGGCGGCGTAGGCGCTCCCTTGCCAGTAAGTGCTAGAAGAAGTTAGCACAGGGCGGTCTCTTTGAATGGAATGGGGACACGAACGTATGGCTGAAATTGCATTCCAGGAAGTCATGTTTGTCTTCTCTGTACATTCCGTTGGGAAAGTCTCCATTCCTCTTTGCACACGCATGCAGCTCTCTTCCGTTGTCTCTGTTGCATTGGAAGGAGAGAGTGCCAGCAGTGTGTTGGCCTGGGTTACCAGCGACGAAATGCAGCTCGCTCCAATTGCCTCTGCGCAATCCCATGAGTTGTTCCGACCAAAGGTGGTATTATATATGAACACAGCGCAACCTCGATACGGCAGATCGTCGCGATCGAGTTCAAGAGACTGAGGGGTGCCGAGATAGAAGTCTTTTTCCGTGGTTTGGTCCTTTATCGGAACGTCTGTATCGAGATGGGCGGCGAGTGTCCACGTCAAATTGTTGTTGTCATCGAGGATGGCGGTGGAGAAGGATCTGAACCCGATTCTCTCGTAGGTTCTGTTGGTGACATTGCATTCTGCTTTAATGGCATTGCTTCCATCGAGAGAAGCCTCAGGGCAGTGTACGTCGGCGCACGAACCGACGGAACTGTTGAGGGCGTATTGTGCGAAAGCGGAAGACAGGAAGGTGGTAAGTAAAAATGAGGTTGGGAGCAACATCTTAAAGCGATTTGACTTGGCTCAGCTCCACGACAGTACAACAGACGAGTAGGAGGTATAGACTTGTAGAGGCTTCTACAATCTTGGAGGACGCATGCAAGCCATGGTCTAGCACATTATATGTCTTGAGCGCCCCACACCGCTGAGCTTCACTGTGCCACCTTCACATCAGGCCCTCTGCCACGAAAAGCTTCTTTACTGTGAGACTGGCTAATTACAAGGTATATGTGAGCTGTTGTACATGAGGCACAGTATACGTGACATGCGCCAAGTGCCGTCCTTGCCGTATAACCACCTGGGCATACTGCGTTGTTCAGGCAGCCAATTTCCATGTGTGATGTGATGGGATTTGATATCTCTGAAGTAAGGCGTCCCATACTCAGTACTTTATTATTGCTCCGACCTCAGCTGTACCGAAAAGATGCCGTGGTCATCTGGAACCCGGGAGACACGACCGGCGAGGCTGACTTGCGTTGATGACTTGGGATGATGCTGGGAAATAGTCAGGTGATCATGAGGAGAAGCGTTTGCGAAGCATAGCCAAAGGGAACTTCTCCATCGGAAAATAGGGTCTTGAGGAACATTGGGGTCGCTTCCGATAGTGTACGAATCGGTTGTCTAAAGCGGTTGATGCCCTCACACAGCCTTGCATCTGAGGGCGACATAGCCCCGAGTCATGCTGCCGTCCGTCGTAGCAAGCTTTTCTCTATCATCTGGTACGTATACCAGGAAATTCGAACCCCGATCTTGATGGAGTTGTAGAGCCTGCTCGGTTGCTATCTCTTTGCAGGCTGCCGGGGGTGACACGATCGGGGTGGACGGATGGGCTGTCATGTGGCAGGCAGTTGAAGGTGTTTCTCCACCATAAAGACAGTTATTAAATACATTTCATCGTTTAGTTTATGAGCTTGTGTACTTCTCGCGTTACCATGTGCAACATCAGAGTGCGTAGGATCAGGTAGGCGTCCAAGTGGATGCCAATGTATAACAGTAGGTAGATCATGACGTCGGCCATTCATTAGATGATTTTCATAGCTTAGCATGGAAGACGGATTCATATTAAGAAAGCAATGGCAGATATTGCCTGTAGTTGCACGAGGCATGATTTGGGGCGTGGACAAGATGGAAGACACGCTTGGTGCTTGGTGGGGATGGCAGATCTTAGCGCGAACAGCTGATCGCGGTCGCGTGAGAAGAACGCGTCAGGCTGATCTTCCACTTCCAGCACACACACCATGCAGCATACCTTCCTATTCGATCCACCAAATGTTGTAATATAATTGAATCGTCTGATTTCTCGTCCATGTGGTCTCTTCCAAAGCTCACAACGTGTGTGTGGACCCACTCTCAACTATGGAGTTGCAAGCAGTGACATCACGACTGCAGGAGCGACTGCAGTATGCGTCTAGAGCTACCTAGAGGAGGTTTGATGGCGACTCCATTTCTCTCAACAACTTGGTATGCTCCTACCTTCTCAATTCCTCCGCTCATCGCACTCTGCTCTTCGGCACATCAGTACTCGTCCATTGCTGACAAGTTCACTCAAGTATTCTCCATTCATCGCTACCCCGCTATCCACCATGTCGGCGAACTCTCTGAACATCAATTCGACTCTGAGTCTTCCGAACTCGCAGTACAAAATCCCACAAATCGGTTTCGGAGTCTACTTGTCTCCAAAGGACGTCTGCGTTGCCTCATGCAAGAAGGCCTTCGAGGCAGGATACCGTCATATCGACACAGCCCAGTACTACGCGAATGAAGAGCAAGTTGGTCAAGCGCTGAAGGAAAGCGGGCTTCCTCGGAAAGAGGTGTACATCACGTCCAAGATCCTAAGCGCTGGAGAGGACGTCGAATCTACATACAAGAAGGTCGCCGAGAGCGTTGAGAAGCTTGCCGGAAAGGATGGCTACGCAGACCTATTCCTCATCCACAGCCCCAATGGAGGCAAGGAGGCGAGGAAGTTGATGTGGCTCGCGCTGAAGCAGGCGCAGGAGAAGGGCATTGTGCGCGACATTGGTGTCAGCAACTACGGCATCCAGCACATCGATGAGCTCGCCTCTATTGATAGCAAGGCCAGCCTACCTGCTGTCAACCAGATTGAGGTTTGTCACATTTCCCATCTGATCGCATAGTCAAACTAACAGAAACGATCAGCTCCACCCCTGGTGTCAACAGCGTGAAGTCGTCGAGTACTGCCAGTCCAAGAACATCGTCGTCGAAGCCTACTGCCCGATCGTCCGCAACGAGAAAGCCAACGACGAGACGCTTGCCAGCATCGCGAAGAAGCACAACAAGGAGCCAAACCAGGTTCTCATCCGATGGAGTCTGCAAAAGGGCTACGTTCCTCTTCCCAAGAGCGACACGCCATCTCGCATTGTTGGCAACGCCGACATCTACGGTTTCGAACTTGACAAGGACGACATGGCTAAGCTGGACGGTCTGGATCAAGGAGCCAAGGGCGCTATTGTGCAGGCCGTAACCAATGCTTAACTCGCGTTCGTTGCCTCGCACATCATTAACAGGCGCGCAGGTGAATAACCTGTCGAGGGACATGGCGAATGCTTCCGCAGCTGGAATCAGTGCTATGCGTACAATGTTGGAGGAAACTTACGTGGACCGGGTGCCCACGTACTTCACGCCTGGCCCTCGGTTCAGTGTACAATTTTCAGACTGGATTGGCCGACGAGCATAGCCTCCCACCCATGATCGGTCCACTTGAGTGCTGTGCCGTGTAGCTAGGTCACGCACCCACGCAACGCTAAAATGTAGATACAAGCAAACAAATTTCAATTGGAAGTTCGAACGTGACAGACTTTCGTTTGCGGGGTTGACTCTTTTTGACGAACACAGTCGCGCCTACTCTGTGCAAGGGCGTAATTTAGTATGCTATCAAACGCAATTATTTCTCCCTGGCCTTAGGGCGTAACCGCGTTTCATGTTGCCCAACACGATATCGCGAAGCTATCCGAACTATAAGGCGATAAGAGATAGTCGCCGGTCAACGTCAAGCCGAAGGGCTACGATTTTCGCACCCCAGGAATCTATAAGACGCCCCAAAAAAAAACATCCGCCACACTATCTCCCTCAAACCCCCCACCATGCGTTCTCAACCTTCCGCAAGCAAAAGAACATAGTGCAATCAAAAAGAAAGGTCTTGCCCGGAATCGAACCGGGGTTGCCGGAAGATACTGATTTTGAGATCAGAATCCGGAGTGATAACCGCTACCTGTATGGTAATTAGCGGGGGCAAGCGAGAAGTGATAGTTGGACAACGTACACTACAAAACCGATACCAATTTGTGCCTAGAATGCTTTATATTGTAGGTACGTTTTCGACGGATGCGACAGTCGCGCATAAGTATGGAGGAAGGCGCGAGGGTGCCGAAATTTTCAGTCGCTCGTGGTGGGGGGGGGGGTGGGGTTTCTGGCTGAGATGGTGGGGTTCCTCAGACTTCGAAACCTTGGAACGCAAATACGTACGCGGAGTAATGCTGCATTGTGCCGATGTTTCATGCTTGCTCGTCTTGCAGCCTAGGAGGCAATTTCTTTCCTTGCACTGTATCTTCGGGAGCAAAACAATGTCACAATTGGTTGTAAACGAGGATAGGTACAGTTCAGCTTCTCTTCTATTCTTGCAATCCTACAGATGCGTGCAGACACTATGCTGCGTCTATTAATACTAACCAGCAGTAAACATACAGGAAGAAAGAGAATACAAGTCGCAAGGCTGCGCAATGCTATATAGCATGCCGCCTGGTATCACAAAGGAGCACCGCGAAAAGAAGAACATGTAGCGCCATCGCTAAAAGAACAGGACAAAAGAGAAAGCTGCCGTAGAGCGTCTATCAGCAAAAGAACTTGTAAACCTTCTTCCACCTTGGCCACTTCCTCTTCTCCTCGCGCTCCTCTTCTATCAGTGCCTGGATGTTGAGCTCGCGGATGCCAGTGACGAGATCCATGTTGTGCGAACGCACGACCGAGGTGCGGAACCAGAACTTGTAGGGGAAGTAAAAGGCAAGGGTGACTGGCAGCGCGAGGTAGACGCTGAAGAAACGCTGGAGACGTTGTGATGTTGTAAGCACGTCCATGTCGATTGGAGCGACGGACACGTAGAATTGTGCAATGAGAACGAGGATGTTGAGGATGAGGCCAACGTAGGATCCAATGAGGCCAGGTTGAGAGCGGAAGGCGAGCTCATCTAAGCTGTGCCCTTGCACCTTCCAACCTTGACGGAAGCGGATATGTGCTAGGCAGATGGACAGCCAGGTAAAGACCGCTGAGAGAGCAGACAGCGCAAGCAACCAATTGAAGGCGGCGTCCTGTAGCCTACGGTCCGCGCCGGCAAGGAAAGCGAGGAGACCAAGGGAGGAAGCAAAAGCAATGGAAACGAGAGGGCGACCCTGGCGGTCAATGTATGCGAAGATCCTGTGAGCTTGGTGTTGCTCAGCGAGTGCAGCGAGCGTGCGCGAGGAACCGTAGATGGAGGAGTTGCCAACTGAGAGAACCGCAATCATGATGACGGCATTGAAAACAGAGGGCAGGCCTTGGATTCCGGCGTTTTGGATAGCGATGACGAAGGGCGAGGCGACAGCATCGGCAGAGTTCTTGTCTTGAAGCAGACGCGGATCGTTGTAAGGAACCAGCAATCCGACGATAGTCAGGGAGACTATGTAGAACAGCGAGATACGCCAAAAGACCTGTTTGACAGCGGTAGGTAGGGACTTGCGTGGGTTGGCCGTTTCCGCTGCGGCAAGACCGACGAGCTCAGTTCCAGAAAAGGCAAACGCGGCGTTGACAAAGACGCTGCAGAGACCCTTGAAGCCGTTGTTGAACGGACCTGGATCGCGCCAATACATGCCGCCGATGTAGCCCCCATCTGGGCCTCCGCCTATGTTGATGATGATACCGAGGATAATGAAACCAATAACTGCTGTGATCTTGATAATAGCAAAGACGAACTCGGCTTCACCATACCCTTTGATACCGAAAAGATTGATGACGACGATCAGGACCAGGAAGACGGCCACCCAAGCGTTGTTGTTGACCTTGTCACCGTTCCAGTATTCTATTGTAAAGGTCGCAGCGACGATTTCCAGTGGTAGTACGACAAGCCATTGGAGAGCATAGTTCCAACCCATGGCAAAGCCCCATGCGGGATCCAGGAAGCGCGTCGAGTATGCCGAGAAGGAACCAGCGACAGGAAAGAGTACTGCCATCTCGCCCAATGCGTGGACGGTGGTGTACAACATGATACCTACAAGGCAGTAGCAGATGACGAGCGATGCTGGACCACCATTTGCTAGCGCTTGCCCTGAGCCGACGAATAGACCGGTACCTGGTAAAGTCAGTTTGTGGATCGTCGCTTGGTTGACGCATGCCAAACCATACCTATGGATCCTCCGATTGCTATCATTTGCAGATGGCGACCTTTTAGTCTCCGCGCAAGTGGTGAGTTTGCCGTGTTCGCCGCCGCGGCTTCTGGATCGAAAACGTTCCCGTCGGCTCCCATGCTTCCCTTTGGCGTCATAGTCATGGCGAAATTCGGGTCCCGCTTGAAGCTCTCGATGACCCTCCTCCCCAGACCGTCCTGGTACCGTGATGATTCGCCATAGTAGTCGGACCCTTGCGAGGCTCTTCCAAAACTCTTCTCGGTGCCGTACATGTCGTCGTCTATCGTCATGGTGGATAAGCGCAACCGCGCGGTGACAAGCGACGATAAAGAGTGTAGAGTGCAGCGGTCCTGCACGTCGGTCGGAGTCGCTGCAGTGCAGCCGTTGGAGGAATCTGCTTTTTCTTGTGCGATGGGCGCAGGGGCGGGATATGAGTGCGGTGCTGACGACCAGACTGGCAGGGCTTAGGCCTATTCTTGAGGCGCGAGCGCATCCACGGAACTGAGGCGCCCAGGGTCAGTGTCCTTTCCAGAGTGCCGGGTTGGGACTATCGACTAGGATGTGCAGTAGCCGGGGTGCAGCTAGATTTGGCTTAGGTGTGGGAGATGTTATCGCAGCGTGGCGCATCTATGGAATCAATAGACGCAGAGCTTGTCCAAGGGCAGAGCTGTGCAATAGTGATGTGATTGTTAGTGAAATGCCGACTAGCAATTACCTTTACCGTTTGCAAGGAGGCTGTAAGGAGCATGGCGAGGGGGGACCGGCGTCCTCATGGACCGGAGAAATGTTGCACATTCGCTCCTTCTTCGCTGAGTTCGCTCCTTCCGCCTCCATCCTTGGCCGCGGCAGACACCGATGACTCCAAACGTCCCAAAAACCCGCAAAGCTGCAGGCGGTTATGTCACTCTCGGTCACTTGACTCTATTCTACAGTTCTCCAGATTTGCGTCTCGCGTGTCGGACTCAGTAACGTCTTTAGGCGCTGGCTGCCGGCGCTATCAAACGACGGCGACCTCACGGTGTCGAGTCCTAGTGGCGCTTGCGTGCCTTCCCCAAGTCCAACGCTGCACGGGCCGCCCTTATCTCCAAGCCACCAGCACACTTGCGGCATGTGCGCGCAAGACATGCCACTCACCCCACGTTACGGTCAAACGTCTCCAACCACTCTTCCAATAATCGCTATCGTAGCTTTTAGATGCTCCTTGCTGAGTTGCCTCACGCCTCGAGCTTTTGAGATCGTGACTACAACCGGCGCGACCTCGGGCTCGACCTCTCACAACACCCGTTGACCCGTCCCGCTGCCGCAGCATTGGCGCATGGCCGACGTGCTGCTTTAGGCCTTCCAAGGTTGCCCCTTCATGCTCTATCATGAGCTCGCCTATGGCCTGGAACATTCACGAAACTAATGTCCCGGCAAGTTCTAGCTTCTACCGTCAGAACGGTCAGAACGGCGACGCCATGGCTCGACATGGATGTTTGGCCACCCTGCGTCTAACAAATCAGCCCGGCACATAGCTTCCTGTCGCTATTATGTGTACCCATTACGCGCAGCCGTGTTGATACTTGCTCGATGGATGCGTCGGTAAAGACGGGTAAATCATATCACGTCTTCCCGATCCATATCGCTTGACGACCCTCCATCAACGCATCCTGCCGCATGCAGGGGCTACCAAGCATCCTCATGCTTCTCAATTTAACTTCATCTTCATCCGATGCAGGTACAGATGTCGCCTATTCATCGCTTGGTGCTCGGCCATCGGTATCTTGAGAGAACTGGGTATTGTACCAACACCGCGCCGCAATCTCCTTTGAATTGTGTGCAGTATGCCTGTCGACTAGCTCGGCTTGCAGCGAAAGTACACGAGCAGTACGCCCCGCATCCTCTCGTCATGTAAGAACACACGCTGGCCCATTGCGAATCAATATACATGTGTGCTACCTGGACCCTTGCACCATTTCCCGTATCAGTCAAGTAACTCTGCCCATTCGCCTGCATAGTCGAGCATCTCACCTCATCGACGATTAGCCGTCCCTTCTTTCACCGGCAGGCTCTTCGTAAACCTCACATGTGCAATCTCATTTGCCAAGAATCCCTGGCCAGGACGCAGTGTCGTTACGGCTGCCGTTTATTACTGGTGGGGTCAGAAAACGCCCAAACCCACATGGTAAGCCACCACCAGCACCTATCACATTATCGCAACACCTAGAGCCTCTACCAACTGTTGCATGTTTCACCGACTCTGCCTCGGTTGAAGGTTAAAGGTTTCTCACTATCGCTACACACGCATGTAAGCCGTGATCGCAGTTTCGCAGGCAAAATCGCGGCAGGATTGGCTTCGCTTGAGATTCCTCCAGTCTTCTACGGTGCAGCGATGGCGCTCGCCGTTTATGCACTGATGCACAGACTGATCTTCCCGGCTGACCTTGCATCTTCCGAGGAAGCAGCTCACCAAGGTGGCGTATCAGTCACCCCATTCTCCCTGACATCTTCTGTGAGTATTGCTTGGTTGAAGGCATACCGCATTCGTTTCCACGACACGATATCACAGCAATCCCTTACCTCTCCCTCAACCTGGACACCCCTCTCGGATGTCCGTACTAAGATAATGCACCAAACTCGGACTTGCTCCCTTATGGTCCTTGCGGCGTTTGACGTAACACAGCGTTGCCGCATCGTTACCTCCCCCTGCACCACCTCCCACATCTCGGCTGTTGGACTTGTGCCTCGTGCGCATCACATGGCAAACCTCACGCATTGGGCGCAATGTCACTAAGAAAAGTACGCATGGCTGTCTCAGTAGACTAGAATCAACCGGGAAGCTCTCACAGACAAGGGCATGTCACTGAACAGCTCCACTAGACGATTCTAGCGCTTCCGACATGTTAGTCGTGTTGTTACCAACACAAGTTTCAGCCGCAACACCGTTACTATTCCGCACCAAAGATCACCACCGGAACTTTGTCAAGGCCAGATTTCGTACAAGGTCACACCAACCGTCCCGATTCAACCTCGCCTCCGACGCCGCATGTCCACCACACCGCCTCTTCGACGCCGATGTGCAACGCAAAGGCTTATGTTGAGCGCAAGTATATCCCTACTGATTCAGCTGTTGTACCTGGATACGTATATGCATACACGTGTCTTTGTGCAATGTTGTTCTGCGTCATCGATTCTCGTTGCTTCGGGTGCTTTGAGGGCGTATCGTGGGGGATATATCGACATCATGACGCTGGACTGAGTGATGTATTCGCTGATCGCGACCAGGGACCGGGTTAATCAGGATTGCTTGTGTTCCCAAGATTGCGTCTACTCTGATCGATATGCAGTACAAACGTTGAACCGTTGACTTCGTATCCTGACGCTTTTGCCGTTCTCTTTGAGTCCGCACCGCTGGAGGAAAGTCGGCTCGCAAGACAAAGGACGCCGACTGCCTGATGTGGCAATCGTTCATAAACTTTGAGATGAGCAGAATATCATCTAGGGGTTCAATAAACTTCAAACGTGTAGTGGAAATACAGGCGCAAGTGACAGACGCCATGAGGTGCAAATGATGCATAGTGTATACGTGTCGACAAAATTAGAATGAACGAAAGGAAAACGCATGTGTATGTAGGTATCCGATGAAATGGACAAACGCCGCGAATGTATGCCGTTAAAGCGCGAGAGCATGAAGATGAAGACAAGAAGCGAAAGGAAGTGAACAACTACCACGCAGCAAGAAAAACAACGACCACAGTCCAAAAATGGCCATAACAAGCGGCCAACCCCCACATTCTCACCAAAATAACCTCAAACCTCCCCTTCAATCTCGCGCCAATTTTCCAAATCATCAAGCCTTCTCTTTGAACTTCTCTTTGGGCGGGGTCAATGGCCCAGGCGCTTCCTCCTCGATGAACTCGCCCTCACCCAACTTCCCACCAAATGTATCCACCTCTTCGACCTCCTCGTCTTCTTCCTCATCTTCCTCCGTGATGCCTAAAATCTCTCCGCTCCTGCGACCCTGTACACTCGTTCCCCGACTCCCCATACCACCTTCTCCACTTCTACTCCTCCAGCCGCCACTGCCATTTGCCGAGCTGCCATTCAGACCTCCGGTATTAACATTAAGCATGGGACCTTTGAAAGGGCTCTTCCTCCTCTTTGCGAAGACAAGACCGGGAGATTGCGGGGGGATGCTGTTTCCGTTTCCGAAAGCGGCGCTGGATTCGTTGAGACCGGGTGGGAAGCCAGAACGTACAAGGCGGATGTTGGAAGGAAAGCTTGAGGAGGTGGGGGTGGCGGGGAGGACCTTGATGCTGTTGTGGGGGGATTTGGAGGGTTTGTGTGAGTGGCCGCTTGTGGAAACGGCGGGAGAAGCGAGAGAGGCGGATGATGTGGATGAGGCCTTTGAGTGCGAATGGTGGTGGTGTGGCATGCTGCGGATCGAGGATACAGATGACGAAGTGGATTTTCGACCGCGGAGACCGCCAGACGAGCGACGGTAGGAGGATCTTGGTGTTAGTGGTGCGGGCGATGCTGAGAGCCTTCTCATGGAGCCTGAGCCGTGTGTTGAGCCTCGGGGCCGCGGGCCAGGCATTTGTGGTGTGGGCGGAGACCTGGGGTTCGTGTGTACAGACGACCGATTCGCCGTACTCTGTCTTCGTGTTGAGTCCGAAGACTTGCTTGGAGGTATCTTTGGCGACTGTCCACTGCTGGCTTTCGAACCCGGTGATCGCGCTCGTTTCGACGTCTCTTTTATCCAATTTCGAAGTGTCAAAAGGTGATTGATGAAGGGCTGTTTCCGGCGTCGCTTAGGCACGAAGCCGTTGGGAGAGAGAAGATCCGGATTGGTGGATACGACCTGCAGCATGCTGCTGCGTGAACGCCGCCTGTCGAGATCCTTTGCTGGTGGTGGCGGACGTGAGGATGAATGGGATTTCCGACCCCGACGGGTATCGATTGGGGGGAGCGGCTTGTCGTCGACTGTGAGATTGGGTGAGGTGATCAGCTCTGGCAGCTTTGGCAGTTCGGGAGCACCTGTCTTAAGTTAGAAGCGTTTCATGACGTCCGCCATGATACTCACCATGCAAGCTGCTTCGATTTGTGGTCCTGCCGCGACTCTTAGGCGTAGAGGGAGAGTGAATGCCTTCTTCGTCAGACTCTCTTATGGTAGGCGCAAGTTTGTCAAGTCGACTACTTGCAGCGCTCAGTCGCCGGAGGCTCTTAGCCTCTGCTTCCTTCTCTTTGCGCTTGCGCTCTCGCCTCTTTGCCTTGCGTTCCTCTTTTTCGAGCAGCAGTGCCCACCAACCAGCTAACGAGTCGCATCTTTGGGCTAGCACGTTCTCAATCACCATGTCAATGTCCACCCCGGCAGCGCGCATGCGTTGCAATACCTCCTTCTCCAGCTCGGTCGAGAAAGGCGCCGGCTGTTGGAGTTTCAAGATCTCTTGCTGGCGGGGCGCATGTTCCGATAACCAAGGGTTCTGTAGTATGTCCGCCAGTGTAGGTCGCAAGATCGGCCGTTTGGATAGTAGCGACTGACATAACTCCTTCGCTTGCTGCGGGAAGTGCTCCGGATATTTGGGGTCCTCCTTCAGTATCTTGTTCTTCGTGACCATTTCGTCGTCGTCGTCAAAAGGCAGCTCGCCCACTAGAAGCGCGTAAAGAATGATGCCCAAACTCCAAACGTCCACCTTTTCGCCTGCGTACTTCTCGCCCTTGAGCATCTCCGGCGCGCTGTAACAGATTGTTCCGCACCATGTCTGCAGGTAGTTGGACTTGCCCTCGTACTCGCGCGTGAAACCAAAGTCGACCAGCTTGACGTCTCCGTGCTTGTCCAGCAGTATGTTCTCGAGCTTGAGGTCGCGATGGACGCACGACTTGTTGTGGACGTAGGTGACGGCGCCGACGAGCTGGGTGAAGATGCGCTGGACTCTGGCGGGCTCGAGGGCGCCCTTGGCCAGTAGGTAGTTGTAGAGCTCATCGCCCTGGCAGTACTCGAGTACCAGCCAGACTAGGTTCTCGGTGACTATGACCTCGTATAGGCGGGCTATGTGTGGGTGCGTGAATTGGCGGTGGTGATGGATCTCGCGCGCGAGGTTGGCGTCGTCCTTCTTCGCGCTCTTGAGCACGACCTGCTTGCGATCAGCGTGGTTCCTCGCAACCGTCCTTCTGGTGGTACCTTTGAGCCATTGCTGAGTTTGTGCGATGCCAAGTAAACCTTGCCAAAACTGCCCTTGCCTATAAGTTTCCCCAGTGTATAGTTGCCGACCGTCTTGAGATCAGTCGCGGCGAACTCACTGGCCCTGCGTCAGCAAATTGGAGCCGGTGAAACACGCAGCCGGCGCGCAAAAGCAAAGAAGAGACTTACTCGAGCAACTGTTTGTACGAATTCGCGAGCTGCTATAATTTGCGTCTCAGCATGCGTGTTGCAAACATGCGCCTGGGGGAATTGCTTGTTGCGGCGCACGAGCGTCGTTGGACGGCAGCGGGACGGGGCCTACCTTCTTCCTCTGGGCCTGAATCTCAGCCTGGGCTCTGAGATTTGACTGCATGGAATGATGCGCCGCTGCTCCGTGGTGTCGCCTGCGCAACCAGCGTCATCTATGGGTTGCAGGAGTTCGGACTGGCGAGCGAGCGCCGCGGAAGAGAGAGACGGCTCCGTATATGCCCTGGTGGCAGCGAAAGTGGAGAAGGCCGCAAACGCCAGGGGCCTAGGGCGTTCGAGATGTGCGAGGATAATAATACTAGCTTTGCGCCGACCGCGAGTGCGAAGAAGTGTATATTAATTGTGAATACTCCCAGGCGGACGGGGACTGGGCGTGCCGTCAGATCTCTCCTGAGCTTGCGGTGCTGCCATGGATTCGGGGAGCGCGATCCTGGTCGCAGATCATCCACCGCTGCTCTGGGAAGGCGCAGGCACCACCACCACAATGCGACGCGACGTGGTTTGGACATCCTTCTCGTTTCGAGTGTACAAGTCAATAACGTTTGTGCAATGTGTTCTTCGACTGAGAGCCGGATGCATTTATGCGCTTCTTCTGACGTTGTGTTACACGGCAACCGAGGGACCGAGATGCGATGGACTGTTGTCAAGACACAAAAATCTACTGTTATTATCTACAGTTTACTGCTCGGCCCTCCAATGTACGTCTGGCCGAGCTTCAGCATGTCGATCGCCTCTTGCACCATCTCGTCGACAATCTCCTTTGCGGGCTTGATATCGCCGATAACCCCCGCAACCTGGCCCATCAGGAACGGGATATCCACATCCTTCCCATCGTCCATGTCCTTCGCCAGCGGCACAACTCCCGCCTCCGTGAGCTTCTTGATCTCGTCCTCGCGCTCGTGCCACTCTTTGATGTAGTCGTTGTACCTGACGCGCAACGGTCGGCCACTGACAACCAGTGTCCGGCCTGTATCTGTGAAGTCGGCTGTGACCACGTTCTCCTTGTGCATTTGCGAGCAGCCAGCCTCAGTTGATGCGACGAATCGTGTGCCGACCCATACGCCCTGTGCGCCTTGCATCAAGCTGCTTGCCAGACTGCGGCCGTTGTAGATGCCTCCCGCCGCCACTACGATGGCTGGCTGACCGGTCAGAGGGCTCTTGTATTTGCGCGCGACGTCCACGACGGAGGGTATCAGGATGCTGTTCGCGATATCGCCGGTATGTCCTCCGCCTTCTCCACCCTGGGCGCATACGATATCCACACCTGCATCTAGTGCCTTTTTCGCATGTTTGGGGTGTCCGACCATGTTCATGATCAAAATGCCTGCTTCGTGAAGCCTCTTGATCGTCCGCTCGGGCGGTACACCAACAGCGCTCACAAACAGCTTTGCGCCATTCTTGATTGTGACTTCGATGAGGTCATCGAGCTGTCCATGGGTGTAGTCATGGTTCGTCTTGCGTGCGCTGCCGCCGACTTGTGGGAGTGCGAGATCGACACCGAAGGGCAAGTTCTTGTCTCGGAGGTTTGACTTGAGGTCATCGATGATCGATTGGAGCTGTTCCGGTGTGTATCCGAGACCGCCAATTACACCTAGGCCACCAGCGTTCGACACGGCAGCTGCGAGGGGGCCACCAGAGGTGCGCGCCATGCCGGCGAGGATAATCGGATACTGGATGCCCAGCAGCTTCGAAAGCGGCGTCTGCAGTGCCGGCGGTGACATGACGGCGTAGGCTGTGGTCGCGGGTGGTTGATAATTGAAAGTAGATGGAGTAGGTCACGTCGGATAACGCGAATAAAGGTCTGAAGAGCGTGCTTCTGGCAGCAATGAAGCTATGTGTAACCGCATGGTGAGTATGGGAATGTGCATGCTAAATAGCGGCCGTGCCTACTGGCATCCTCGACTGCCAGGGGTTTTGCGGGGAAAACGTGGGTGCACGAGCCGAGGCATCTTAGCTCGACTCGATACATCGTTGCCATTGCCGAGATTCGCCCGTCGTGGACGGGATGAACATGCATATTTGGTAGTCACAATAGGCATAGTATGGGAAATTTTCTGCTGGAGAGCACGATGATATGCATGTTGGAAATCATAATCCATACTATCGATGTTGTTATCAATAATCGGCTTCTCGCACTATACTCACGTATGCCAATTGCGGAGCACAAAGACGCTTCAATCAACATCTAAATCTGGCTCTTCTGGCTCCTCCGACTTCGCCGCATCGTTTGACAGAAGACGAGCAGTCTTGTCAGCCATTGCTTCCATTTCCGCATCGAACTGCGCAGTCACATCATCCCAATTCATCTGCTTCATGAGCTCGTCGAATGCTTGGTCAGTCATATCGAAGTCCGCAATAGACGGTAGGTCCGCATCATCCCAACTCCACTGCTTCATAAAATCTCCGAGCGGGTTCGAAGACGTTGTCTGAGATGGCGGAAGCGGGACATCATTTGCAAATTGAGAAGACGTAGATGGGTCGAAGAGTGAGTCTCTATGATATTGCTATTAGCGTTTGACTCCATTCATTTGCCCATTAGCTTGTGCATGCCCGTTGACTTTTCCCTGCGCAGGTGTTGGCTGCGGCGGAGGTGGAGGGACAGGCCCGAATGGTCGATGCACAAGCGCCGGTTCAACACCGTCTTCTTCAGTGTCGTCGTCGTACTCTGCGCTATCTTCGTCCTCGTATTCGTACTCGCTCTCCGTAACTTCTTCATCCTCCTCGTCCTGCTCCTCGTGATCCAGCTCATGCATCGGAACCTGGCCTCGACCTTGTGCCTGCATTCCACGACACAGTGTTTCCAGGCGGGCTATCTTCTTCCGCTGATCCTCGGCTTCCTTGGTCCGCCTGGCAAGCTCCTCTTGCATCTTTTGGCGCTCTTCCACCATCTCGCCAATATTGCGGTTCGTGATGTCCTTGTGACGTTGCAGCGTCTGGTTCTCCTTTTCAAGACGCTTGGTTTTCTTTGACATCTCCTCCATCTCCTTGCGGAACGTGAGGAAGAGATCGTTCGAGTTGTTGAGCGTTTCCTCGACCTGCATCTGGTCAGTATTAACCATGATGATACAGACCAACGAGGGGTTAACGGGTTGCATACCTGTTTGAACTTCTCCACGTATATGTTGAGCTGCGTGCGTAGCTCCGTCTCGGTCTGCGAAAAGGTCGACACTTGGCGGGTCAACTGGTGCGACTTGGAAGATTCGGCTTCTTGTTGTTTGCGCTGCTGCTCTAGTCGGGCGGCGTGATACTGTATTTCGAGCTCTTTGAGTCGCAGCATCGAGTGGTATTGTAATTCGCGCAACTCGTACTGGTCAATGAACGACTTGAACTTTTGACGAAATCTGCTTCGTTAGTTCATGCTCCCAAATTTGGCTGTGCCACACATACATTTCGTCCAGTTCTTGCTCGGCTTGATTCTGTGGTTCAGGCCCGTTCGCAGCTGCTATGCAATCGTCCACGTCATTCACCAGGTGTTCGAGACGCTCGTGTAGTTCTTGCCTGGCGGTGGATTCGCTAGATTCGAGCTTGTGTAGTTCGTCCTTGAGTTTCTTGTTTTCCTTTGCAAAGTCACGCGACAATTTGTCCAACTTGTCCTTCATTGTCGTAACCTTGTTCAACTCCGACCTTTGCGCGTCCTTTTCCTTCTGCAGCTGGTCCCCGCGCTTCTTCGCCTTTTGGTGTTCGCGTTCCGTGCGCTTCATATCGGAGAGGAGTTCGGTATATCGTTTCTGCACGACTTCGAGCCGGGACAGCGGGCCGTCCATGTTGGAGAGGAGCGAGGAGAGTTCGCGGTTTGCTTTCTTAACTTCGCGTTCTGTCCATGCCATACGTCAGCCAACGATTCATTTGATAGGGCCCCAGTCTCGTGCTGTGCAGACATGGGCTGCGCCACCCAGAGTGTCCCCTCCTCCACAGCTCCGTCGCAAGAGGTAGACGCACCGATTTCGAGTTCCTGCTCCTTGTCCCCTGCCTGGTCCAGTTCGAGCTGAGCAATCTTGGCCTGGATCTGCTTCTGCTGCTCCGAGGGGTCGGTCGCCTTCTTGCCTTTGCCCTTCTTAGCGGGCGCAGGCGTAGGCGCTGGGTTGTGCTGTGCGGGTGCCATGTTTGCAGGCGAGGCAGATGCACTGCGGCTGGCTTCGTGGTGAGGGCGGGACTGGGCAGACGTCGGCTGGCGCTGTTGGGCGACGGTTGCCATGAAGTCGTGACTCTTCCGTGTAGCGCCTCAGCTTGTGGATCCCCCGTGTTGCCTCCGACGGTTCCTCCGCCTATGCACTCAGTCTCACGTGTCCCCAATGCAGGTCTCTAGGCAGTCCAGTGGCGCATCCGTCTGGCAGCAGCCGCCTGTCTACAATGCGCGTGGTGAGGATGCACGTCTTCCGCCGGCGTCTCGGGACTGCTTCGGGTGAAAACAGATGTGGAGCGCAGTGCAGGGGGCGTCAACGGGCGTGGTGTAGCAATATGTACAGTGTCGGGTCATGCAGTCGTCGGGGTCGGGTCGGGCAATGTCTCGTGGCGGGTGTTGAAGAGGAAGGAGGGGACGACGTCGGTGGTCTGGTCGATCGCGAAAGGCACAAGACACCTGGTAGTCTCCACAACGCCCACGAGCTTCAATATCGGACCTGACAGATGAGATCACTGGCAGGCTAGCCAATCCGACATGTCTCCAGCCGTATAACGCATCAACAGCCTGTCCAGGCGCACTCTTTCGTCTTAGTAATTTTGCGGGCTAATCTCTTTTGGTATGGGGTCCCTCGGCCAATCGGCGCGACAGGCGTCATCGATGGGGTGCCTCTGACATTTCTGAGGCTGCGCGGCACTCTGTCATCCACCCTCTATTCCAAACATGCTACGTTCCGTTGGTCGGCAGGTCCAAAGCCCTCGAAATGCCACGATAACCCCGCACCGACTGTCAACCTTGTCTCGACGTGGATATGCCGCTATCACCGATGTCTCCAACTTCCCCAATGTCGGCGAGCAGCTGCATGGCTTCACCCTCAAGCGCGTCAAGCAGGTGCCGGAGCTCGAGCTGACCGCTTTACATCTCCAGCATGACAAGACTGGCGCCGAATATCTGCACATTGCCCGCGAGGATGCGAACAATGTCTTTTCGATTGGCTTCAAGACCAACCCACCAGATGCCACCGGAGTGCCACACATCCTCGAGCACACCACACTGTGTGGTAGTGAGAAGTATGTCACCTTGCTATTGCAATCAACGTATCTCTGACAGTTCAGGTACCCCATCCGCGACCCCTTCTTCAAGATGCTTCCCCGCTCGCTTTCCAACTTCATGAACGCCTGGACCTTTCCCGACCACACTGGCTACCCGTTCGCGACGACAAACGCGCAAGATTTCAAAAACCTCATGTCCGTATACCTCGATGCGACGCTACACCCGTTACTGAAGGAGAATGACTTTACCCAAGAGGGGTGGCGGTTGGGTCCTGAGAACCCGCTGGCAAAAGAGTCGGAGGACCCCAACGCGAAGCGCATCGTTTTCAAGGGCGTGGTATACAATGAGATGAAGGGCCAGATGTCGGATGCAAGCTACCTGTTCTACACCAAATTCCAAGACCACCTATACCCGGCCATCAACAACTCCGGTGGCGACCCGCAGAAGATCACCGACCTGACTTGGGAACAGCTACGGAAATTCCACGCCGACCACTATCACCCAAGCAATGCCAAGATTCTCACATACGGAGACATGCCTTTGGTGGAGCATCTGAAGGAGGTGGACAGTCGCTTGAACAGTTTTGACAAGATAGCCGTGGATCAGGAAGTGAAGGCTCCAATAACTCTGGACGGCCCCAAGGAAGTCACGGTTGCGGGACCTCTCGACCCACTGGTACCTCAGGACAGGCAGTACAAGACTTCGGTTACATGGTTGATGGGCGACACTGCAGACGCCGTAGAGAACTTTGCGCTGGGAGTACTGAGCAGTCTGCTCATGAGCGGCTACGGCTCGCCTCTCTATCGCAATCTTGTAGAATCTGGACTTGGTGCTGATTTCAGTGCGAATACTGGCTATGACAGCGCTGGACGACGAGGTGTCTTGTCCATTGGGTTGGACGCCGTCAAAGCGGATGATGTGAACAAGGTGCGCGAGACCATTGCGGAGACCTTGCTCGAGGTGCGCAAAAACGGCTTCGACAAGATCAAGGTCGATGGTATCCTACATCAGCTGGAGCTTTCGCTCAAGCACAAGACCGCCAACTTTGGTATGGGCATCCTCCAAAGACTGAAACCCGGCTGGTTCAATGGTATCGACCCAATGGAGGCCCTCGCGTGGCAAGAAACCGTCAATGCTTTCCAGAAGAAGTACGCTGAAGGCAACTATTTGGAGAGCCTGATTGAAAAGTACCTACTCACCGACAAAACCCTGACCTTCACCATGCAGCCATCGGAGACGTTCAGCCAGGAACTCGTAGACGAAGAAATTCAACGATTAGCGGCAAAGATTGCAGAGACCGCGAAGCAGTTTCCAAGCGAGCAGGAGGCACAGAAGTATCTGGAAGAGCGAGAACTTCAGCTATTGGAAGTTCAAGAGAAAGCCAGAAACGAAGATTTGAGCTGTCTGCCCACTGTTCACGTCAAGGATATTCCTCGAGAAAAGGAGAGGAAGCCACTGCGACATACTGAGCTGGATGGTGTGAAGGTCCAGTGGCGCGAGGCACCCACCAACGGTCTGACGTACTTCCGTGCTGTGCACAGATTACAG